TGTGTGTGTGTGTGTGTCCCCTTTCATGGCTTACATAACTAGCCCAAGGAGGAGGAGAAAACCAAAAAAAATCTTCTAATGGCCTCCTAATCGCAAGGATTTCTGGTCCTTGCTGTGAGTCCGCGGGGTGTGTGTGTGTGTGTCCCTGCTTCTTCTCCTCCTCAGGAGAGGTTCAGGAAGGGGCACCTGCAGGGACCCATCTGGAGGAAGCAGGTCCAGGGGAGGGGACTTAGGGAGAACTCCCTTTACTGGACCACAACCCCCCTCCTTAGTGCCCGAGCCTTTGCCTGTACTCTGAGCCAGGCTGGAATTGGGGGGGGGGGCGTTCAAGGGAGAGCCCACTTCTTGAACAGTGCATTGCACATCCATGGATCCTGTGGGTTTCTCCGGCTGCTGCAGCCCAGGACGTGGGATGGTGTTCTTCCAGCCTCTGGCTCTTCACAGTTGGATGAAACCAACAGGGGCTGAAAATGCCCAGCTGGACAGGAAAAGGTGTCTTTTTCCCCCTTTTCTGGACTTCCCTTCTTGAAGAAAAGGTGGCACTGGGCTACCTCTCTCCTGACCAGTAACGTGCTCGGTTGAGGGGGATGCAGGAAAGTCTCAGGGGGACGTCCCTGCATCCCCCCCCCCGAGAGCCATGCCAGTCTTTGGGAAGCAACAGAAACCTCACTGGTGGGCTGTGGGGGTCATAGGGGACCCCTCCTTGGAAATCACCCCTCCTTGCCCTAAACCCAGGGGGAAGCGTGCTCCACGTCCAGTTTCCATCGGGAGCGGTGGGGTTGGGAGATGGGGTTCTTGCACCCACAACAACAGCTGTTGGCCCAAACCTTACCTGGATCTCTGTTGCACGTCTATGCGTGCGTTTAGCGAGTATGTCCGTGCCAAGAAAAGCTGGGAGAGGAACACAGAAATCAGCGGCCATTTCTCCACGCTTCCCATCCTTCTCTTGCCAAAATCATATTATAGGTCGGGTCCTCTTTTTTGCTGCTGCCTCTTCTTCACAGGCTCCCACCGCGAGTGCATCCAGTTGACAAAACACCCACTGATGAAGACGCTCAGCAAAGCACGAGCAATCAGTCTGCTTTGTTCCTCGTCAACAAAAGCTCAGAAATAAACACAGAGATGGAGGCAGTTTGGGGGGGACAGTAAAAAAAAAAGCTAATGTTTCTTGAAACTGCATGAAGTGGTAGAGGAGCGGTCGGATGGGTGGCCAAGAGCTAGACTTTGTCAACGCCATCCGTTGGTTTTTGTTATGATACGATGGAGGAGAGTTTGCTAATGCTGTCTTCCTTGTTCAGAGTCATCCAGAGGCGAAGTTTTGAAATATCTAGCAGAAGTTCTGGATTGGCTTTGTTTGTCCTGGTGTTCTTGCTTGGGAGAGAAAGGATGATGCCAACCTTGTTGATACTTTGGTGGCTTTGATACTAGTCTTGATTGTAGTGTTTTGATAGGTTGAAGGCCAGAGTGATACGGTGGTCCTCTCTTTACTCATTGGGTCAGGATTACAATCCTAAGGGAAACCAGGCCACGAGTGATATTGGCTGGTTCTCCTGGGAGTCTTCAACCCATAACATCGGAAAGGCAAAAAGTTGAGCAAAGCCAACCTGGGCCAGTGGTCCTCAGTCTTCGGCCCTCCAGATCTTTTGAATGCCTTCCCATTGATGGTCCTGGATGGGACGTCTGAGTGCTGAGGCCCAAAACACTTGGAGGAGCAGAGGCGGTGGGAACCACTGACAAGCCAGTCACAGTTAGAAGGCCCTCATCTTAAGTAGGGCTGTAAATTCTTGTGCGTCTCATCCATGCACGAAAGGATGAGGAACCAAAAGTTCGTCTCCTAGCCCACGTTCTTTGTGATTACAGGTGCAGGTGATGCTGGAGTTGTGCAACAGCACAAAAGGGGTGTGCTTGACAGGTAAGACGGCTGCTTTGCGCCCCCCCCAGGGAACGTGGTGGGGCCACCTTTTCTCCAGCCCCTCTTTTGAACTGTGGAGATTTTTTGGGGGGGGGCACCAACACAAAACAATCAGAAGGACATTATTGATTGTATTCCTTGGACTGCGTGGGAGAGAAAAGGCGTGCATCGCACACGCACTTTGCATGCCCGTTCTTTTATAAGAGAGACTCCCTTTGTGTAACAACCCTCTTTCTCAAAGAGACCCCCCCCACCGAAGTTTGGATTGCGGCTTGTGCCTACGGCAAGAGGGTGCAAACTTGTTTACGTTCTTTAAAAGATGGGCTTTAAAGAGTTCTTTTCTCAGTTTGTATTTCTGAAAGTGTTTGACTTCCCCATGACTTCTGTTGAGTTCTTGTACAAATACAAGAATACTTCCCCCCCTTCCCCACCAAAGTGAAGTGAGGAGACAAGATGTTGGCAAAGATACTCTGCTGTTTTCTCTTAATTGTGTGGGACATGGCAGGATCCAATGCTTTGGGGGGGCGGACTGAGTTCGGCCGTGTTTGCAACCCAACGGGCTGATCCAGACCTTGACAGGATGAATGCGTGGACCAGAACTTTCTCCTTCCTTGGGTTCGTGGGGTGTCTGTCTCCCCGTGGTCCTGGGTTGAAAGCGGACCAATTAAAAGGGTCAACAGGTTGAAATGTGGAGGGAGAAGCTAGGGTTGAGGGGGTGGCTGCCCCATCGCCCTGACCCTTGGCCCCACCAGCAAGGACTGCTGAGAGCACAGCTGAAGAAGAACGCCAGCTTCCCCCTCCATTCCTCCACTTACACACAACCTTTGAGGGACCTCAGTAGTATTTGTAGTGTGATGTCAGCACTGTCCTGGGAAAGGGTACCATTTTGGACTACGGTTCCCAGAATCCTTCAGCCGACACGCCTGAGGGCTGTGCAGTGGGAAAGGGTGGCTCTGCAGTCCAAATAAGTGCTATTGTTTCGAAACTCCTCTGTGCCTGTTTGGAAGAATTGTTTTACACTTTCTAGTATTAAGTTACGCTTAATGATTTGTTTTCTCTTTTCTCTTTGTTCATTCTCGGTCTAGGGCCACCAGGATTACCAGGTAATAAACTTCTTCTGTTTTGTGCCCTGCTTGCTTCGAAATGAATCTGTAACCAAACTTTTGCATGGGTAAAGGAAGGGAAGACAGACATGTTGATTCCTGGTTGATTCCTGCCTCCGTTTCTCTCATCGGGATGTCCCTCCGTATTGGTCTCATCCTTACTAATGAGGATGAGAATGGTAACATTCGTAACATTTGTGTACAATCATCATTTTTTTGGTCTGCAAAAGTCCCTGGAACTGGCCTGACTTGTGCTTTCTTGGAGAATTTGCAGCCCTGGATGGTTTTTTTGTATCTTTCTTAACAATCAGTCAGACCTTCTGTTCTTGCTTTGTGTGTGTGAATACGCACATGCTTTGCTTCTCAAAGAAAAAAGATACTGGAGAAATTTTGTGGCAAATACGGAGTCCTGGAGTGTGAAGAAAAAAAGATCTTCATCGGTCTTACTCTTGAATGCAGTGGAATAATCTTGTGGGCCGTAAAAAATGTCTTGTTGGTGATTGTCCCGTGATGTTTTCTTTTGGAATCTGAATCTTCAAAGTTGCCCTAAATCTCCACTCGCCTTGGGTGTAACATGTAGCCCGTCCTAGAGGTTCTATTTAAGTCAGCGGGAGCTGCTTTTGAGTGAGTGGTTTTTAGCTGCACTTGAGAGACTGGCCTTTTCTTCCTGAGGATTTCGGCAGGGTGCGGGTGGTCTGAGGAGAAGGAAATCCACACCCCACCCCACACCCCTCAATTTTTAGCACAGGCTAAAGACCTGCTCAGACAGAGGGCCATTCGTGGACTTTGGAAGCCTATCCCAGATCTGGATGTGTTTCTGGGCCTATTTCTATGTTCAACTGAACACAGTCTCTTGAAAGTGAATTTAGGATGGCAGCCTTCGGGGTGTCAGAGGACCTCCTTCAGGCCTTCCCGTCTCGAACCCCGTATCGACGGAAGTGATATTTCCAGGGTGTCGCTTTCCTCCTGCCCATCCCTTGTCTTGGCCCCAGACCATTTCAAAGCAGAGGCCATGGCTTCTCTCTGTTTTTAATATCTAATCCAGAGGGTCCTTTTCATTCTATATGATATGGATGAAATGCTGCGTGTTACGAAACTCTAATGACGTCCCCAGTCCTTGTTCTGGGCATTGCTGTAGAAGCAGCTACCATTCCAAGCATTTCACAACAACAAATGCTCATTTAATACAATCCTGCCTCCTTTTTATTGACTTCCGTGGCGCATCTGATGCCAATTTATCCCTGGATGTACTTTATTTGTTCCTATGCCGTTCCAGGAACTAACTTTGAAAGACTACGGAGTGATCTGAAGAGTGTTCAGATGGAAACCACACCAGCTGTTTCATAAAAATAGCCTACTGTATTTTGTTTTAGAATCTGCCTCTGCTTGAACCGATGCAGTGAGACCAGCTGCTATACGGAGAGTTCAGAACTCTGCTGGTCAAGAATCATCTGACCGGGTGGGGCCTGCAGGATTGAAGCCTTGGGAGGTCCTAGATTGCAGAGGCAGTGAAACAACCTTTCTTCCCCCCTGTGCCTCCCCCTCCCTCCCAGCTTCCTTGTCCCCTTGAGCTTTGGATTTTCCCTGGGGCCAAGTTTCCCTGGAAAATGGTTGCCAGACATTCCCACTGTAATGATAAATATGCGAGGTGTTCCGTTCTTGAAAGGACAACTAAGAGTCATTAAGTTTACAAAAGACCTGCTCCTTATTTGTCAATACAGATCAGTGGGATGCCAACATTTGGCAGAAAAGGGAACAATCAAGACATGCTTTTGCAAAGATTGTGCAATGTACCACTCAATGTGCAAAACCCCATGTTTATGTGCAGTGTGGATGGTGTTTATGCATAACCCATGTTTCCTTGGCTTGACCAGGTCCTCCAGGGCTGGACGGATTGCCCGGTTTGAATGGATCAGACGGCCTTCCTGGCATCCCAGGGCAAAAGGGTGACCCTGGAAAAAGAGGAAAAGCAGGTATATATTTTTTTGTGCCGCTATTTTCTCTCTCCCTCCTGTCCTCTGTCTTCCTGCCTCCTGTGCAGACGAAAAGCATCTTGGGAGCCACGCATTCCAAGGGTCTCCCCAAATGACAAGCCTTGGAATTCCCACTTCTCTAAAATTTGGGTCAAGAGGAGCTCTGCCCGGGCACAAGATGCCTGCAGGCTGTATTTTTATACCAAGCCATGTCTGGTCTTTTTTTTTTTAAATACTTTCCATTTTTTCCTTTCCTTGTTTGGCAGGACCAAAAGGAGACCCCGGGGAGAAAGGCGAAAAGGGAGACTCCGGGGAGATCGGCTTGCCTGGGAAAGAGGGAGCCCGTGGGCAGAAGGGCTCTCAGGGGCCCAAGGGGGAGAAAGGAGAGCCAAACAACGAGGTGTCCCTAAAAGGTGAGAGGACAAGGGGCTCGAAGGGAGGAAGGGGCACAACGGGTCATTGGCAGGAGCCCCAGGGGAGGAGGGGACATGGTGTCTTTTTGTTTCAGATGACACTGTGGGCGGGGGTGGGGGGGAACGGGATGCCAAGCCTCAGCCCCCTTGATTAAAATCATGCCGATTTTTGTTCTTCAAAGGGCGAAGGCTTGGACTCTCTGATGGGTCCCCATGGGCCCTTTGCTGCGTCAACGGACTCCCCGCTTAAGCCTTTTTCCTTCAGCAATCCATTTCTTTCCGGGTTGGGGGTTGGAGATGTTTTTGAAGCAGTAGTTCCCAATGGTCAGGGTCCTGGGATTCAGGAAGACACCCCCCCCAGTGATCTTTTTTAGTGGTTCCAGATCACAAGTGTTCTTGTCTCTAGTCCTGGAATAAACCCTTCTGGACCGAAGCTGCTGATCTCCCCATCTTGAATCCAAGGCTGCCTTGGAACCTCCATGTTACCATTTTGGCACAGCGTCACTCTTTGTCCCCTTCCCCCCCCCTTATATCCTTAGGTGAGAAAGGGGAGCCTGGTCCTCCGGGGCCCCCCGGTCCTCCAGGCCCACCAGGAAAGCGCAAAGCAAAACCTCCGGCCGAAGAGAAAATGTACAGCATCGAGTGTGCAGGTAAGGGTCCCTTGGTGTTGTAGCGGAGAGATCGTTCCTGTGGGTACAAATATTAGCTCCCTTCTCTCCCCCCCCCCCTACTGCCAAGTCATCATGTAGCCTGAAAGAGCCAGAGTATATCCTCTGTACATATCTCGGAAGTTCAGGTGCAGGCGTTTGTTGGCAAGGAACGAGAAGGTGCAGAATTAGAGGGGGCTGAATGTAGACCCCCTGAATAGGGGTAGCAATAGTAATAGTCATCATAAACCGTGATCAACATCAAGATCATAAAGAAGGCCAAAGGATAACCCAGGCCTTTGTCAGAAGATGGAGCGCGGGGTGTGTGTGTGTGTGGCCAGGCTGCCTCCACCGTTACCCTCCCTGCTGTCTCTTAGGAATTGATCTCTGTGGTCTGAAGTCCAACCTGCAGGCAGAAAACTAGCAAATGCCCGCCTGGGCTTTCTCCCGCATTCTAGTTTTTTCCCTTCCCTTTTACGAAAGCTTCACATTCATGAACTTCCCAAAAGTATTGCAAATAAAAACATCCTCCTGCCCAAATTAAATTCTTACCCAGCTCTGCTGAAAAACGGGCTCCTCCCGCCAGCCTCTTCCCCTCCCTCTCATGTCATCATAGGCGTTTTCACATTTTCAAACCTTTCTCTCCTCTGTTTTTGCTTCATGGTGGATGCCCCCCCGCCTCCCATTTAATTCCACATCGGACAGTGTCAGACCCTAATACAACTTTGTCCTTTTGGAACCAGCGGGTGAAAACACTGGTCTCTCAAATCAGGCACGGGGCCGTCCTCCCGGCTCCACTCCAGAGCCACTCAATGGGGCATCAACCTTCTGCACCTTTTTCTACCTCTCTGGTGGTGCCCGTGGGGGTTCCTATGGCTGCAGGAGCTGGAGGGGGGGCGTGAAGATGGATGGGCTGCCGTTTTTCCTGCTGCTCCGCTGAAGCATCCCCTCCTGCCATTTCGGCCCAGGCGTCTGGCCTCTTTGGTGCAGCTGAGAAATCCGTGCTGGCGCTCTCCCCTGCGCCAGCCCCTCAGCCCTTTGAAGGTTGTGATCACCTTCCTCTTTCCCATCCTCTTTTCTTCTGTAACTTTGCGAGAAGGGTTATCAAGTGACTCGCCTTTCACTCCACCCTCTCCTTCCCTACTTGAGCATCGGATCAGGTCAGGGGTTGGAGTGAGTTTGGGGGAGGAAAAGCGCAGTCAATCCGCACAGAGAGATTACAGGCATCTGGGGAGGAAGAGGAGATACGGTCGGTCGGTCGGCAGGTGCCAAAAGCAAAGGGAAGATTGGTTTGAGGGGAATCGGGGCAAGAGGGCTGGGAATGCCAAGGTTGTGCTTTAATTACAAAAACTCTCCTGGTGGTCCAAGGAAGCAACTTGGTCTTACAGAGGTGGACTTTTGATCTCACGTTCTAGGCAACAAACACTTTCTGTGCTGTAGCTTCTTGTGGACGGGTTTCTAACAGCCAGGCCGTGGTGTTGGAAGATGCAAAGGCTGCAGATGATAGAACTGCAGGAATCCCATTTTAGGTGTTTGCCTACAAATCTGTAGGGTTCTGTTGATGGTGGAAGACGGGGATGCATGTGGGCCCCAGCCCTGCCCGTCTTCACGCCCACAGAAGCACCAGAGACCTTCGCCCGTGGGGCGTGGAAGTCTAAAGAGGCACCACTGGATGCTCTTTGTGAGTTTACGGCCGTTTCGAGAGATCTGAAAGTGGGCCTTTATAGTCCGATGGCTCGTGCTGGACTTTGGACGAGTTCTCCCACCAGTTGGTTGCTTCCCCAGGCCTGGTTTGGCCTCTGCCAGGGGTAAAGAGCTCCTCATCTTGGCCACACTGTTTCTGGAGCGTGTCACCTTTAGTAAAAGAGGGACCTCGTTTGGCGTTAATGAGCCTGTGAAGTGGGAACATGGCCCTCTTCCAGGGCTTGGAACAGAACGTGCCACTTCAAGGATGTTCGAGGAGAACATTGCTGGCTTCTGCTTGCTCCTCTTTACACTATTTCGGGGGCTGCTTGATTAGCTCGCAGAAGGAACTGGCGCCCCACGGATCGCCTCCCCTGCTGTGTCTAGCTTCTGTCTTATCTGTGGAGAAGGAAAGGAGATAATGGGCGGGGTGGATGTGAGCAGCTCTTGGCAAGGTAAGGCCTTGGCTTCTCTGAGCCTGAAACGAACCCATCCTCAGGCCTCAAACCCATCGCCCGTTCCTCTTTACTTAGGGCACAGGCCCTGCATTCCGATCCTCCCATGTCCCTTCCTGGGACTCGCCCGGAACGGCTTGTGTCCGGAGCACCAACTGGGTGCCCTCCTGACCTTTCAGATTACAGCCCTGTCTGTGGGCATGTCAGCTGGGGCCGATGGGAATTGCAGTCCGAAGCATCTTGTCAGAAGAAGAGGACGACAACAATGACAACAACGGCGATGATCATGGAGGGAGGGTCATATTCTGACATGGGATAAGCCTCCTTCATGCGTTCCCATGAGATGGTGAAGTTCTGAGAATCAAGTACAACACAAGAGGGAAAAAAAGTGCCTTGGCTCTTCCCGGCTTTCCCACTCTGAAGCTCTTTTGTGGGGAGAGGAGAAGCATTTCCGGTTTCCACCAGAGTAGTGGTGCTGGAAAAGGTTTGAGGATCCCGCCCCGCCCCCCTTTGTATGATGGTGTTTTTGAATTGAAGTTGCTTCCATTCTAGATGCCTTCTCTCTCTGTGTGTTAAAAAATGGGTCCCTGCCTCCTCAAGGATTATTAGCAGATTTCCCAAGAACCATGGCTCATATAACCATGGGTTTTGAGGACAGGAAACAGACATTATAAATGATGCAGCATTAGAGGAGGGAATTCTTCAATGGTTCAAAGCATCTGAGTGTGCAACAGATGTCTCTCTCACCTCATGCAGTTTGCAAGTCATTGAACTTCGTTTTGTGACTTAAGAGTGGATTCCTCTAATGTCTAATTTCTCCAGTGCAAAAGTCTGCCTGGTTGGCATCTTTTGAATGCTGCTTTCACTTGTATCAACGGGATTGCTATAACCGTTTGTTTTGTTGAGAGACATACCCAGGAGGCCATAGGTTCCTTTGACAGCCTGGGAAAGGAGCGCCCCATGTTCATGTTGAAGATGCCGGATGGCGTTACAACCCTTGCTTGCGTTGTGTTGGAAACCAAACTCTCCCTTCACCCCCCGAGTAGTAAAAGTCTTATCTCTCTGTCTTGAGCGAGCCTGGTGGTGATCTTTCAGACAGATGGGCGTATCGCAAAGCCATCTCCAGGCCTTGGCCAAGCTCCAACTGAAAACACCCCTGTCCTTAAGACTTTCTGTTTCTTTCTTTTTTTCTTTTTGTTAAACACAGTCCCATAGCTCGGCTGCTGCGTTGGGCCCGCTCGGGCGGGCCTTGACTGTTCCTCACAAAAAGATAAAACGCCATCTAAGTGGGTTACTGGTAGAGACTTAAGAGCGTGAACGGGAGGAAGAGGGTTGCCACGTCCCCATCCTTGAAAAAGAGGAGAGAAGGAAAGGAAAGGCTGGCATATCATTTCATACCTTGCCTTACGAGTGAAGGTGAAGAGTTAGAAATGGGCTTCAATGTCTGGGTAGGGGGGAAAAAAACCCCTCTCAATCCACTGTGTCTCATTTTATTGAGATAGAGAACTGACTGCAACAATTTCTGGAGATCTAGAAATGGCCATCAATATTTGTGATGATGAGTCCATGATGAGTTGTCCCTTTTGGGATCTGGGGGCTCTGAGTCTTCCTTCCATAAAAATAGGACGTGGGGCAGGGTCTTTATTTTGAGAATGGGATCCCTGGCCTAATTCCGATCATCATCACCATCATCTTAGAAATGCCGAGCTGGAAGGGACCCTAAGGACCCATCTAGTCCAGCCCCTTTTATTTGTGATGATGAGTCCATGATGAGTTGTCCCTTTTGGGATCTGGGGGCTCTGAGTCTTCCTTCCATAAAAATAGGACGTGGGGCAGGGTCTTTATTTTGAGAATGGGATCCCTGGCCTAATTCCGATCATCATCACCATCATCTTAGAAATGCCGAGCTGGAAGGGACCCTAAGGACCCATCTAGTCCAGCCCCTCTTTGGGAGGCCCAGCGGGGAATTGAACTCTCAACCTGCAGCTCTGCAGACAGAGACTTAAATCACTCAAACCACGGAGCTCTCCAGCAGTTCATCCCATCACTGCTTTTGATTGACCTGTCCTGACTTTTTTCCTTTTCCTTCCCCCCCCCGCCGCCTTTGTCTTTTACTGTATATGTTTAAATTATTTACACACTCACTTCTAAGATTTTAATCCTGAAAGATGTGTTATAAATAAATAACTTTTTTTTAAAAAATGCTTTTTAAAAGACAGTAATAATGAATCAATTCTGTGTGTGTCATTTGAAGCTGCCTTCAGACAACATTTCGTTTGCTTGCGAATGAAGGTTTGAACCTTGCAGATGGAGGTTCCTTTTCAACACCGTTGTTTTTCTTTCCGTCTCACTTCCTTGCCCACTTTCTGTGGTTTTAGGGGAAACCTGCGCTATCCCCAACGACGACACTCTGATGGGAAAAGCCAAGGAGAAAGCTCATCTCTACCAGCACAAAAAAACTGGTAATCTGGTTTTCTCACTCGCTCGCGCTGGGTGGTGCTTCGCCGACCGAAGCGGGGCAGTTGTGCTGACTTTTTGGGTGTCTCCCGGCCAGAATGCCTCATCGAATCCGTCGGAAGCCCGTCTGAGATCATGAAACTGAAGCAGAGCTACGGGGCGTGGATGACGGACCTGGCGAACCGGAGCGATGAAACCATCTGGATCGCTGAGCATTTTACCGGTGAGCTCCTCCCTCTGGGGCATTCTACCTTACAGGATCGTTGTGAGGATGGAACAACCATGGCAGGAAGGAGCCATAAACTCTGGCTCAAGTGCCTTAGGATAGTACACACCAGTGGGGAGGGGTTATTTTAAGTCTCTTCCGAAACAAATGACCATCAAAGGCTGAGCAGCACCTGGAAGCCTGAACCGGCTTCCTCTGTCTTGAGCTTTCGTGGGAGTGGAGCAGCGCAGGGGAGAACGGAGCGGGTCCTGCAGTGGGGGGCAGGAGGGGGGGGTCTGGTTTCAGAAGCACAGAGATCTTTACAGTTGCTGGGGATTTCCTCCTAAACCTCTGCACATTATTGTTTTTTTTTGGGGGGGGAAGCTTGGAGGGTGGGGGAAATGTCACCCCACAAGGATGGACATTGGAAATTTGGAAAAATGAAGCATGATAAAAAGGGGTCCCATCGAATGACCTATGCCAACAAAATTGAAACTGGCAGTGGACCTTTAGCAATGTTTGGTTTCAACTGTTCACCCCCATTGCTCATTTGGGGCTCTGGTGTTCCCCCCACCCAAGGGGTGGTAGGAGTGTAGGGCCCGGGGCCTTCCAAAGCTGCACCCAATGCAGACAGGAGAGGGATCCAGGGCCAAGAGAATGGTTTTTGTTTGGAGGGGGCGTGGAAACTCTGCCCTGGGTGCCTCCATTGTGAAAGAGATTTACTGGGATGTGTGGAGAAGCCCATTGGCCACACAGACTCAAAATGTCTTCCCTGCCTGCTTCTTGTTGGAACAGGCCACGTCATCAAAGAATACAAGGACGTTGCTGCATTGCACAACGACAGCTACAACATCACGGAGCTCCCCTGGGCCTACTATGGGTGCGGCCACGCCATCTACGACAACGCTCTGTACTACCAGCGCGTCGGACGCAACATCATTGTCAAGTAAGGAGACCGGTGGGCTAAAATGGGGGGAGGGGGCGGGAATGGGACAGAGTCTCCCAACACAAAGGCAGGTTTGTGGAGTCAGGATTCGGATATAGCTGGGAAAACCTATGTCAGAAAAAAACCCTTGATCCTCTCCCTCTTCCCGTCCAGAATGTTTCATCATAAAATCTCTTTTCTCTTACATTTTTAGTGCCTCTTTTCTTTCTTTCTTTCTTTCTTTCTTTCTTTCTTTCTTTCTTTCTTTCTTTCTTTCTTTCTTTCTTTCTTTCTTTCTTTCTTTCTTTCTTTCTTTCTTTCTTTCTTTCCTTTCTTTCTTTCTTTCTTTCTTTCTTTCTCTCTTTCTCTCTTTCTTTCCTTCCCTCCCTGGCAGATTTCTGGACAAAATCTGCCTGTCTCTTCAGCAGGCAGGTCATTTTCTCCTTGCTGGCGGGTCCCTGGATTCCAAGCTCTTGCTGTGGCACCCAGCGCCAGCCATCTGCAGGTCATGAGCACTCCATGTGTGGGGGAGCTTTCCGAGGGAAGGATGAGGCCGCAGCAGAAGCAGCAGCAGCAGCAGCCTCCGCTTCCTTGAAACAGGGCGGCAGGCGGAGGAGGTTTCCCGAGCCAGCTGGCTCCAGCGCGGCCTTTGCCCCCTTCAGGCTCTTGATGTGTGGGCCAAGGATAACATCCTGCTTTGAAAAACAGATGTTGGGGTTCTCCTTGGTCTGTCCTGTTAGGAAAGGGACCAAACCAATGACATGAAGGAGGCTCCTGGAATCATCCTGGGTTCCCCAAAAGACCCTTCCAGTTCTTGGCAAGGTATTTTTTTAATAACTCCCTTGAAAGGCCTTCCTTTTCAGCTCAAGGAAAGCATCGTGCACACTTCAAGGGGATCACTTGTTATTGTGGGCCGTCAAGTCACCTCCGACTTCTTGCGACCCCGTGAATAAGCCATCTCCAAAATGTCCTGGTCCTCAACTGCCCTGCTCAGCTCTTGCAAACTCAACCTTGTGGCTTCCTTGAGGGAGTCAACTTATCTTGCATTGGGTCTTCCTCTTTTCCTGCTGCCTTCCACCTTTCCCTGCATGATTGTGTGTTTTTTCCCCAGAAAATCCTGCCTTCTCAGGATGTGCCCAAAGTAAGACAGACTCAGTTTCAAATTTTTTCCTCCAGAGGGAGGTCAGACTTGATTTGATCTAGGATCGACTTGGTCATCTTCTTGGCAGTCTAGCATATCCGCAAAGCTCTCCTCTAGCACCACATTTCAAACAAGTCAATGTTTTTCCTGCCGGCTTTCTTCACTCTCCAGCTTCCACACCCGTCCGTGGTGATCAGGAATACAAGAGTGTGGATGATTGTGGCCTCGTTCTCCAGAGACCGGTCCTGACACTGGATGGAAGGGACCTTCATTCCTTCATTCCCTGCCCTTTCTAGTCTCAGGCTTCTGATTTCTTGACTGCAGTCTCCCCTTGGACTAATAACTGAGCTCAGGGACACGAAACATTTCACTAATGCCACCTGGGCATCTTTTGGATGACATGTTCTGACCTACTGATCTTATTTCATTCCTACTGCACTGTTAAAAGAATTTCTAGGATGATGGCAACACACACACACACACACACACTTCAATAGTTCAGAGACTAAACATTCAGCTAAGCTTCTGTAAAGGCAAGTACAAGGTCAGCTTCTGGCCGAATCTCCTTGCGCTTATGAACAATGTGGTTTCCAACCCCCTTTTTATGCTTTAATTCTGTTTATTTCGCTCGATAATGGAAGTCATCAAATCCACCCACCCAGCTGCCTCCCTGGCCAACACCCCGTCCCCAGTTTTCCTCTGCTCCTTCTTTCCATGCCTGCCTGGTGAGAGGAGCACTCAGTGGGGGAAAAGCAAGGGTGGATGGGGGTGGGTGGGGGTCTTGCCTTCGGCCCCCTACCTAACCTGCCAGGGGCTGCATGGCAGTACAAGCCTGGTGTGCGTGTGTTTTGCTGTGAGAAGGAAACGGCATTCCCCAGGACCGCCTTGCCCTACAAGGGCCAGAGAAGGGGTGAAAGACCCCCCCTCCTCCCACCCCCTCCCTACCATGACTGGAGCGTTACAGCTGTTCTTGCTGCTCCCAGTTTACAGAGAATGGGGAGAGGGGGTGGCTTGTAAGATTTTGGGAGTTTTTCGATAGGTTGAAAAAAAAATGGGTTGCATATTCAGAAGGCAGCCATGAAGCTGGCGAGGAAGCTGGAGACCAAGGACTATAAAGGACCGGGTGAACCCAGTTCAGCCTGGAGAAGCCTTCAGATATCTTGAGGGTTGCCACTGCTGAAAGTGGAGCCAGCTTGTTCTGTGTTACACCAGAGGGCGGGAGTAGAACCGAAGGATGGGAAGCCAAGGGAGCAGATTTCGGGTAAATGCTCAATTTCCTAGCGGTTCAGGCAGAATCATTTGTAAGTGATGGAGCTGATCAGCAGGAGAACAAGCTGCCTGGGGAGGTTGACTTCTCCGTCACCGAAGGCATTTCAAAGCAGAGGTAGTTGGTGACTCCCGTCAAGGACGCTGTGGTTTCTTACTGCTTTGTATCTCCTGCGGTGAACTGGGTCAGTGGTTCTCCTCAACCTTTGATCTTCCCCATATTTTGACCTTCATCTCTAGAAGCACAAGGGTTTCTGGAAGTCGAGGTCTCAAGGCTCTGGAGAACCGTGAGGTTGGGAGAACCAGATCTCTATTTCCTTTTAGGACACATCAGGGAGGTCTACTCTGTGGTGCCCTTTTCCCTAACCCTGCTTCTTCTCTTCACTCCAGATATGACTTGGCCACCGGCTCATCCAAAACTCTCCCTATCGAAAACGCCTGGTATTATGAACGCATGTATCTCTTTAACGCTTCCAAATCCTACTTCAGCGTCGCGGCGGATGAAAAAGGGCTCTGGGTGATGTACCTTTCCCGGCCGGACGAGCACATCATGGTGGCCCAGGTGGAGGAGGAGAGCTTCTCCATCCTGCGATCCATCAACACCACCTACCCGCAGTCCAAAGCAGGCAGCGCTTTCGTCGCTTGCGGGGTGCTCTACATCACAGACAAGAACCAGATCCGCGTGGCCTTTGCTTTCGACCTCTTGAGAGAGAAGCCGCTCGACACAAGCTTTGCGTTAAAACTGTCCCTCACAGACGCAGGTTTCATGCTCAGAGCGTCCCTGCCCAAGCAGAACAACTCGACGTTTACCCCTGTGCTAGCCATGCTTTCTTACAACCACGTGGATAAGGAACTTCACACATGGGAACATGGCTTCCTGATGCAATACCCAGTGCAGTTTATCAGCTGAACACACTTTACTACATGCCCCCCCCCGGTCATGTTTGCCTCTACAAAAAAAACATGCATTTTGGAGACCCAAAATGGGTCCGTTTGTTCCGTTTCTTGCTATTCCCAATGTGCAACTTTGTTAAAATTGTAAAGTTCTTGAGAACTTCAAGTCAAAAAGGAATTCTTGTCCATCTGCCCTTCCCTAGAGGGGGGTGGTATGTCGTACATGAGAAGCCCTTTAGGAAAAAAGAAAGGTAACCTAAATTCAGCCACAGTGATTCAAACCCAGTAAAAATGAAAGCTAAATGTTCATAGCCCTGGCTAGGGTGGGAGAATTTCCCAGTTGCCATGTCCTGATTATTGAAGAAACTTTGGCAAGTTCTTTTGAGAAATGAAGTTCCTGTCTGTCTCAATAAATGTCCCTGCTCAAGGAGTATTGAACTCCCCTGAATTTAAAAAAGAAAAAGGAACACACACACACACAAGATTACAGTCCTTTGTGTGTCCGTCATGGGCTGTTCTTGGCTTCACAGATCAGAGCCTGCTTCACACTGCAGCTGTTGCTACAAGCCAGCAAAAGCCAAAGAAGCTTTTGTGTTTTCTGCCGCAATGTTTGTGTGTGTGTGTGTGTGTGTGTGGTTGGGGGATAGAAATCTGTGAGATATGGAAAGGTACATTTCAAACGTCCGCCTGCATTTTCAAAAACCTGAGCAATGAGGTCCTACGGCTGCTTGGGGAAGATCTGCAGAGAAAGCTCCGGCTAACACCCGGCTGCACTTTGGAGGGTGAGGCAAGGCTGATGGGTAGGAGGATTTCACAGAAGGTTGGCTGGAGAGCCGAAGCTCGCAGGGGGAAACGGGTTCCGTTTCAATCGGCTGTTGGCATGAATTTGAAGAGGCAGCTGTTTGATCAGAAGGGATATTGAAAGTGGAGGTTTCGTAGGAGTAGACGCCACCCAGTCAGAAGATAAATGGGATCCGTGGCTGGTTTTACAGGCACAGCAGAGGGGTCACTTATTTGTCGCAGTGTGCTTTAAGGACAGGCAACACAGTCCCCTCCTTGACCCTTGCATTAGGACACCACGGCCAACAGGATGGAAGGTCACCAGCCTACGTGGCAGAAGACCGGTGGTTCAACGACTTGCTCGAGACTATTCTGTCCTTTGGAGAGACGTTAGATTCTCCGTCTGGCTGTCCAGCCTGCTTGCTTTTCATTCTGCATGCTAGTAACTTCCACGTTTCCACAAAGCCTCAGAAGGAACTGTGGTCCCTACCCACCTCCTCTGTGGCTTGGGAGTGTGGAACACGCTGGTTCCTTCGTAAGCCAAGGAGCTGAATGAAATGGCAGTAGTCCTTACGCTCTCAAAGGTGGAAGTTAAAATATAGACATATGACACCCACCCTCCCCTGGTTGCTTCATGCTCCCCACACTGGGTTGGACGGCCATGGCTTTGTGGTTTGGGACCGGCCGGGATGGCAGGTTGTGGCTGGCGTGGGATTTGTGGGAAGCGGCGCCCTTCTAGGAGACCCTCCATCTCCCACGTCTTGAAAGATCTGTGATGCTGTCTGTGCACTCGCCCAGCTCACCGGCCAGCATCCCCCCCACTTTAACAAAAACCGACATGAGTAGCAGTCGTGATCAAAGGGACGTGCCCGTGTGTGTATTTCCTGGTGCCACAGAGAAATAAATGTGTTGGGGAACGGGCCAATGTGTTGTGACTTCCGTCGTGTTCAAAGGCAGCAAGCCCACAAGCTGGTTGGGAAGCGGAAACCACGTGGTGCCGTAGCCACCTTTGCTGGAATATGAGCCACGCCTGCATGAGCCCAGGATCCGACCTTACCAGGCCAGGGTGTCTTCACGCTTCGTCCCTGTCCTCCAGTGGGAATCTGGTCTTTACTTTCAAGACACGTCCCTGCCCTTTCCTGTATTCACTCTTATCATATACATCATCCTCATTCAAGGTAGGCCACTGTGTTATGTTTTGTGTAACTTTATGTTTCCTGAGGTTTTTAAGCACCTAGCTTCGTGTGTGTGGGGGGAAATAATAATAATAATAATTGCACGCCATCAAGTCAGTTCTTTCCAGGGTTTCCTTGGTATTGAGTACTCAGAAGAGGTTTCCCATTCCCTACTCCTGGGGTGCCTTGGGACCTGTGCAGCTTCTGACCAAGGCGACCCAGGCTGGCTTTTTTTCCACAGTAGGGGAACTGAACTCCCAACTCTGCAGCCGGAGACCTCAGGCACTGAGCTATCCTGCAGGGTGGGCTAGAAATGTAACCGACAGTCAAACTAAAATAAATGCACGCTCTCTGCAGGAACCGCTGGACTTGCAAAACCCACTGGGGTCTGGGTGGGCAATGAGCTGGGTTGAGGGAGCAAGGAGCCCACGTTTGGGCCACTTTGTCTTCTCCTGCTGCTGTGAGAGGCAACCGGGACAGCATAATGAAATAAAGGGAATTTATTTAAGTTACAAAGGTAAAACTAACAAATGACAATTTGCCTTCCTCTCATAGACATACTTCACAGCTTGCAATTAAAAACTGCCTGTAGACAAAGTTGCATTTTAACCGATCATTTCCTCCCACCAGACCTTCTTTTACGGTACAGTCCAGATAGCCACATTCTCATGGGAGGGGGGAGGAAAAAAAGATACAGTTTGCCAACATTGAAATACACAGACATCAGCTTGTTATCGTAAGTAAGACCACGTCTTCCTGTTTATAACAGAGAAAAATACATCTAAAGATGACAAACAAGAGCCGGTTATTTTACAAGCAAACAATACTGACCTCTGCATAGTTTATACAGTATGCTGCGGAAACAGTTTAGATTACCAAGTTTTGTCAACTATTTGACTAGCTGGCCACATGGAAGCCTGACATTCATCTGAAAATGTGGCATCGTATGGGGCTTTTTTTTCTAGAGCTTTTCATGAATGCAGTTTCTCTGTCGGGTCTTTTTTTTCTTCTTGGTTTTTTATTTTTGGAAGGAAAATAAAATGAAATTAAAAACCTTAAGAGGATGACTGGAAATAGGGCTCCAGTTGGCTCACTGCACACAATACATTCCTAGTGCAAAGGCAGGAGTCAAAATAAATGGCCAGGGAGGGAGGGAGGGACGGAAGGCCAAGCCCGGCCTTTGAACAGAAGGAAGGGAATGACTGATGCACAAAAGGAAAGGCCCTGTGAAAACTCTCGCTTGCCTCCGAGAAATGAAACCCCCACCCCCACCCCCCCCGGATGCCATTACGCAGCTTATATCCTGGGCCCGGCCGGTCCAGAAAGGGAAAGACTCAGCCCCAGCCTTCCATGTCCCTCCTTTGTCCAATAGCCTCCGGCCCGAAAACATTATTTTGAAAAAAGCATAAAGTGCAGGCAATATAAGGAAAACTCCTCAGGCTCAGAGGAAAATGTGCTTTTCTGGGCAATTTCTGAGACTGACTGCTTGAACACTAAGTTTAGAAGGAAGTGGGGAAATGTTTCAGCATCATAGAAATAACACATTTACCCTACAGTACATTCCTCATTGCACAAAAGTCCACGGGCTGTGTGGGCGTCACATTTTCGTAGTGGTATGAACCCAAATAATAATAATAATAATAATAATATTAATAATAATAATAATATAATGTCAACAGTGATTCTTAATAAACAACAACATAAAATCACACTCACTGGGAATACCCTTCATTAATTGAGACTTATTTTGAAAACAGAGGGGGGAAAAATGGAGACATGCTTTGATTCAGTAACAAGGATTTGGAAAAGTCTCCCGATCGTAGGTCAAAAAAACCCCTGGCTGCCTTCAGGTGTCTGCCACGGATGGCGGGACGGTAAGCCACAGAGTGCTCCGTTATGTGGACAAGGCCCTGGGGTGTGTGTGCGGGGAGCACCGAGGAGGGACGGCCATCGCCATATTCCCCCCCCCTTGGGATGGTCAGCTCCGATCGAGGGCATGCACGTCCATCCTGCCAACCCGCCGGTGCAGGGTTCAAATCAACACAAAGGTGCGTAAGGGGTTTTGCGGTGGTGGTGAAGAAGGGGAAGACACTGCTCTTCCAGTGAAATTTCAACTCTAGCATTAAAACGCCGCAATAAATTACTTGGGACAGCTAAGTGGAGGGGCCTTCCTTCCTTCTTTCTCCCAAAGGCGCCTGCCACGTCCCCCTCCGAGGGCGGGAACCCCCGTCTGGCGCAGGGAGCGCCTGCCGCAGGACTCCGAGCGAAGCGTTACAGGATATCGCAAAGGCTGGAAGGGATGTTGAATGCGTTCGGCAGGACGCGCATCTTGAGCGTGCCATCCGCTCCACAGGAGAAGAGGCGGTTGCCTGGGGCCAGTTCGATCTGCATGACGCCCGTGCTGAGGTTCCGGAAGATGGACTGCTTAGCGTGCTCGTGTTTGAAGGAGTGGATCAAGCCGTAGCTGGTCAGCCTCCACACCTAGAGCCGAAAGAACCAACGCAATGCGCCCTGAGACGGCGGTAGAGCCCGGGCCCAGGAAGAGATCGGATCTCTCTCTCTCTCTCTCTCTCTCTCAGGCACGCACCAAATGCAGGGATCACAACACCATCCCAAAGCCTCCCCATCTCCGGGAAAGGGCTGCCGGGCAAAGTGGATGCCATGCAGAGGCCACGGTGGGGCCAACACATCAGATCCCCTCAAAGGCCGCTTTGGAGGCTCCCAAGGCTGGCGCGTGGGCAGCTGAGAAGGGAGGGGAGAGAGGGCCTGGAGCCGGGTCCCACCCTGTCTGCCAGATGTGGCAATTCCTCTCTTTGGGGATAGGAAAACTCATGGCTGGTGGGGAGAGAAGGCTGTCTCGGGGACACCGATGGGTCTCCTCCTCCTCCACTCTACCCCAAAGGGCGTTGTCTCCCTGGGGGGGTGGGCAGGGCTCCCCTTTGGCCTGCTGCACCTTTTGCTGGGATTCCCCCCCCCCAAGTACCTTCACGTTGCCTTCTGCAGAGCCTGTACAAAAGCACTCCTCCGAGGCGTCCAAGGCCAGGGCTTTGACGGAGGAGTCGTGGGCCTGGAAGGTGTGGAGGGCCTGCCTCTGCCGGATGTCGAAGACGGCCACCTGCCCCTTCCGGCCCCCGGAGATCAGCAGCTGGTGCTTCGGGGCGTACTGCAGCACCGTCGCCCCGTGGTCGTGGCAAGTGAAGGCTGGAGGCAGAAAGGCAGAGAAAGGCAAGAGCCCTTCACCAACGGGGAGCCTCGCGGAACGCACTCCCCGGGACTTGGTCCGAGCAAACCCAGGGGGTGTATGTGTGACGACATCCCAAAGGGATCCCCCCAAGAAACAAGAGGGAACCCCCGGCTTGCTCAGTGGCACCCCGGCTCTGGATGCGAGGGGCCTTCCCTTTAAAAAAAGGCAACTGTGTGTGTGTGTCTACTTCACTCCTCGGATGAGCATGTGAACTTGGGTGATTTTAAAGGGAAGGGAGAGGGTCTCTTATAAAGCATCTGCCCTCAAACAGAACTGGAAAAAAAGCAATTATCTCAAAAGTAATTACCCAGTTACAGTGACAAGCCCCTGGCAAACCATTGCCTTTCGTTACAATCTCAAAAACCAAACAGTTCCTTATTTCTGAGAAGTAACTGGAATTCATACAAATTAATCCTAGGGGCCATGGGAATGGGATAAATGGCTGGCCCACAGAACGAATTTTGCTTTCCTTCCTTGCTGTCCCCTGAATCACAGGCAGCGGAGTACGAGGCAGCTGCCACGAGCCGGCACCCTCCTCAGGTGAGCTTCCTCCTCTGCCCTGGAACAAGGCCCTGGCCCCAAAGCTATAAAAAGGACCGAATAGTTAGACGACACTAGAAAAGGGGTAGAGTTACCCTGAGCTAAGTCATAAGAACAATAGCGTTTAACCCGTGCTCTTATGACTGACGGCAGGGAGGCACTAGTTATGGGGCTGAGTGACAGGCAGAGTTGTGGTTTATTCTCTCTGCCGCTTGCCGCGTGGCCTTCTGCAACCCCCCAGGCGGGCCGGCCGGAATTCCTCACGCTCTCCAGCCAAGCACTGGCTCAGAGGAGGGAGGCCGCCGATCACGACCGGCCCCTGGGCAGGGCTGGGGCTGTTATCAGGCCGATTAGCTGATGTTTGGTCTAGCCTGGCCGGGGACAGCCAACGCCTCCGAAGCCCCAGAGGCCCTCCGGCTCTCCGGGCTGTGAGCCAAGGGCAGGCGGTCCATCTCGGCACAAAGCTCAAGCTGCTCAGGGTGGAAAGGGCGGTGCCATGTGGGGTTCCACTTTTTGTCCATTTGGGACAAGAACGCACACATACACACACACACACCCATCGGTTCTCCAAAGGAGGGTTGCAAGGAACGCAGAGGAACCAAAAGGAGGGCTGTCACGCAAGGAGCAACCCTCGGAAGACTCTGATGATGATGGCAGGGTTTCAGGGCTGCAAGCCCTGCCATCACGATGACACTGATCACAAGAGCGGGAGAAAACGACTGCCCTCGAAAGGTCCTCTGGGGCTTGGCGCCACCAACCTAAAGCTGGTGCGAGAGTCAACCAGGAGTGCTGCAGATCCTTAGTACGGGGAGGAGGAGAGGGCCCAACAAACACACACACCCCGTTGAGGACACACACGCGGCGTCCTGGCCCCAGGGTTAAGGAAGAGTCCAAGCCACCACCTCCAGCAACACAGAACAGTGTTTTGACCCCACTTGCCCTGACCCGGCAACCACAGTCAACGAACCTACCATGTATGAGGTTGTTAGAGGGCGACACTAAGGTGTCCCACAGACACACATTTCTGCAAATGAAAAGAAACACACACACACACACACAGGCAATTAGTACTTCATTAGTCACCATGCCTGCATTCTTCCCACATGCTCCCCACCCCCACCTCATTCCCGAACCCCTCTTGAACCCACCGATGGTCGCTGGACTGCCCCGAAGTGGCCACGAGGCTTGACGAGGTGATGAACGCAAAGTCACTGGTGGTTTTGCTGTGGCACGGCCAGCTCTGTGGAAAACGGGCAAGAGGCGATGATTAGCCGCACGGTTAAACACAAAAGCATGCAAAACTCAAACCCAACCGCTTGTCTACACGAACTTCTCATCGTGTCTACATAGAACACAACCAGAGAGAAAGCAGATGGAACGAGGAGCGGTGTTTCCGGCCCTCGCTCTGGGGGGCCTGCCAGTTCCACAGAAGAGGAAATGGAGAAGAAAGCAATTAACACATTCACGCATCCACTTAACACGACACTTGCTCCGTCAACAAAAGGCAAACAGGAAAAAACCCAGAACCAATTAGATGGGTCAGGCTTCCTCTCAAACTGCTTAACATTTTTTATTTAAAAGGGTATCCAGAATAAAAAAAGAGGAACTAAGAATGGCCTCATCTCCTTACCAAATAGGGCTTAGGGTTACTTGCTGCCTGGTTCACTTGCCAAATGCTTAAGTAGCCCTCTCCATCAGCTACGCCACACTGCAAGGAAAAGAGAGAAGAGAGAGAATGAGAATTTACCCCCTTCTTTTATGACTTCATCCTGACTTGCCAGAGATGTTCCAGGCGACCGATGCCCACAGATATCCAGTAACCATTATTTCAAAGCTTTTTATGGAGGGAGCAGCTTTTATCAGGGGCTGTCGTCTTCCCACACCCCGCCCCATCCTGCTGCTTCCTCCAGGAATCTGGTCGGCCTCTATGGGGAGCAGGTCTGAGACAGGCAGGCCTTGGGACCGCCACCTTCTTGGGGGGGGGGGCTTCAGTGGGTCCAGATGTTAAGTGACGGTGCCGTACTTTAGACGCCCATCCGGGAACGCTCACCTTGTTGCCCTGAGAATTAAAGTACAGCCGAGTCACCCTGGCATTGCCGGCTTGACGGAAGCACACCAGCTGCTGCGGCCGGGTCCATTCGAACATGCGGACGCTCCCATCCTGGGCACCAGTAAGGTCTGGAAAGGATGTCCATGCCCCAATGCGAGAGGCAGTGGGTGGGTCAGAGCACAAGCCATGAAGGAAGGAAACGCTCCGAGTCAGTTACTGGCACACCCTCGGTTCTTCCCCCCTCCCCCCGCCTCCCTCCCTGGTTAAACACAAGCGACTCACAATACTGGTGGACCGGATGGGAGGTCATCCTTTTCACGTTGTTCAGATTCCGCTTGATGAGCTTCAGGGAACAGGAAGGAGATTTATAGTCATTGTTCACAGCAAAAAGATGGATTATAGGTTTTTTAAAAAATTAAGTCCAGGTACGTTACACCCAGAAAACCCCGGAAGGGTCTGGATTGACAACAACGCAGTGCTGTTGCTATTGTTTCTGGGCGGCTTTTAGGTTCCACCTTTTGAGCTGCAGTCCTTGGCAGATTGGCCTGTGGCCGCCCCATCCGCCTTGTCTCTGAGTAAATGTGAGCATCAGGTGAAGTTAGGAGGACATACGGACAGGAATGCCAATGGGGTAAAGGGCTTGCATGCCGCCTGTTCCCACACAACCGCCCCGCACAGAAGGCTTTTCTGCCTCCAACTTTTTTGCAGGGAGAACCGTCTGTGGCAGCGGGGACACATCCGGCCATCTCGGGCACCCGTTTGCCATGCGGAAAACCTGACCTATTTTGCCAATGAGGGGGCGGGACCTGTAAACAGTAGGAAAGGAGCGCAGGAAAAACAACGACACTTTCTTTCCTTACACCACAGGAGTGATGCGGGGAGGAAGAGTGAGGCTAAACCATGCAGGCAATCGAGAGAAGCCAACTCCATTGGGTCCTTGCAGAACCAGAACGTCCGCTCTTACAAGTAATCTGGCATGCATGGCCACCTGGTGGCGATCCCGTCTTTTTGTAAAGAAACACTCACAGAAATGGCACACACCCCGATTGTGGTGCCATGGACGGCAACAGCCACTTCTCGCCATCAGGGGCCTTCCGGACGGCTGGCCCTCGACACCCTCCCTCTCGGCCACCCCTGGACCCCTGCAGGGAAGGCCGGCTCACAAGAGGGAGCAACGCTGAAGAAGCTACGTACCACGCCAGCCCCAGTGCTTGTTTGCCCGCTGCCTAACCACGGCATAGAAGAGGCGGACGACAGCGAGACAGGCTGCATTTGTGCCACGGCAAAGGACCCGGCGCTCGACTGCGTGAGTGTGGTGGTGGAACCACGGAAGTCGACGTCATCTGAACTGGAAACGCAAAAACAGAAGAATGTCGTAACACGTCATTTCTGACCCTCCTCTCAAAAGAGTTCATGGATCACCAACAAGCCATCGTTCAGGAGTTGGTGGGACATGGGCGACGTAGTGAACGTAGTTCTTATGACCCCGGCTGCTCTCCCGTTGAGACTCTGGGGCAGCGGCCAAGCCCACCTTTTAGATTCTCGGTCGTACTCTTCCCCGATCCAGATATACGGCTGGGCAGCCAAGAGGGCGGAGACGTCCAGTTCTTGAACGTCGTGGGTCGAAGCTAAAACGATCTCATTGACGTTGGCCTGGAAAGGACAAAGACGACCACATCAGCGGAGGCGGAAGCGGAAAAGGCGCCTCCCGGTGAGCTAAACAAGGCAGGGGATGTGAGCAAGGTGAACGAGGGCCGGTGGGCGAGATTTACCTTGTTCACGGCGAATGCCATGATCATATCCGACTCCTTGTGAATGATTTTCGCTCGGCCTCCAGGGTAGCCGAGTTCTGCCTCTACCTGCAAAACATCAGAACGGCATATTCTTGAACAAGCCCGTTCAGAGGGTTTGACGGTGGAAGGAACCCAATGCGAGAGAGATAGAGATAGAAAGAGGCATGCAAGGGAATCTTAGAAGGAACAGCCATCTTTGAGAGAAAGAGTCCCTGGGTTTCTCCTCCTCCTCTCTTGAAACACAAGGTCATAACAGGAGTGAACCAAAGTTAAGGTCTATCTGGTGTTAGCATGAAGGCAAAGGACCGGCCAGAAAGGTTACTTTGAGCGTGTTAGCAGACCCTTTAGAGGCTGAAAGGAACGAAAGCTGGCCCCGCGGTGATTTCTGAAAGTGCACCTGAGAGGGGTCTGGGAGACGGGACGCTACCTTGTTTTTGCTGGCTGCTAGGCTGTTTTGTGTGCTCTGCTCCACACGGTCTTCTACAGACTACACCACACCACACGGGCCACCAACACAAAACACATGCACAAACACATATAGAAGAAAAAAAAAGAATGAAAACATGCCACACTGGGGGCTTCAGAAGGACATCCTAACGAGGATGCTAATGCATTCGCTTGGGATTTGGGGGAAGGGGGTTCAAGCCAAGCCGCTTGCAACGTGAGGTATCCCGGATGAACACAAACACAGGCCAATAACCAAGCTGGAGAGCGGTGGGGCTGGACCCAAAATCACCCAATGGGGGGTTGGGAGGGGGGGAGCACCGCCGATGGGAACAGACGGCCGCTTGCCAGAGAGAGAGACAACACTTCTAAAGGCATGAAGCCCCGCTCAAGCAAAATGAAGGGGAAACAATGTCAACCCATTGAAATCAAAGGTGTGCCTAAAAAACAAGAGGTTGCTTCAAGAGAGAGGAAAGATCTCACATGGCCTCAATCCACGCTGTCTGCCATGCTCCTGAGTATACCTCACTTTGCTTCCTCTTCCTGGTGAAGATGTAACGGATGAAGGCGTCCCGCAGCAGTTCTTGCTTGACCAGGAAATGCCACAACCTTTTAGCCGGCAGTGCCGAATAATCTTTGGATCTATTGGGAGCACAGAGGGGAAGGGAAGACGTGGTTTTACTGCAGCACTTTCCCCCCAGTTCACACACAGACACAAAAAGGGTGGGAGGGAAAAAAGGAAAGAAAAAAAATTAAAAAGAAAGGGGAAAAAGAAACAGAAAACAAGTATTTTGTCTGTCTGTGTCTATGTGAAATGCCAGACAAAAATAGTGAATAAACAAAAGGAAATGAGTAGGTCTATAAAGGAGGGTCTTCCAGGCACACAGGTCACATAGAAAGGTTGTGCATTCATAAATGATCAAGGTTCATCCAGCAAGTTCTACAGATTTGCAGAGAACAAGAGGGATTGATTCTCAAAACAAGGGTCTGCGATCAAAAGATGCCTTTCACGGAGGCTCCCTCAATGACCACCCACATAAAGCTGAACAGAAGAAAACGGCTGAAAGAGGCAGACCTTCGCGATAGGTGACCGTACGTCATACAGTCAACATCAAAGGCACCTGGAGCTCTCCCTGGCTTGGAGCACCATATGTGTTCCCAGAAAGGAAGCACGGACCGGACTACGAGGGCTGAAAGCAAAGCGTGCTGCTTCTAGGTCGCCCCATAGCGCTTCATGCACTCTCTGGGTGTTTTGCGATCTTGAATGATGCAAGCTACACCTGGCCTCCCCCCACAGTGAGCTGGGCCCTCCATTTCCCAACTTCAGAAGGATGGAAAGCTGAGTCAAGCTCAAGCCAGCGACCTGAGCCCTCTTGGAATCGAACGCAGGTCGCAAGCTGGTTCTTGAATGCAGAACGGGAGCTCAACCACCGCACCATGAGGTCCTTTTAACACGATCCCTTATGCCAGGCGTTCTGGAGGTCCAGTCTACCTCCAGGATGGAGCAGGCCCATCCGGCCTCCCAGCAGAGGTCCTGTCTACTCCATGCAGAGCGGGTCGTCACAGGGCCCGGAGGACGCCAAGACAACCTCTCTGCCGAGACGGGTAGACAAATCGCCTGACTCCTGGGCCCCCATCTGCGGACCTCCAGCATGCAGTGGGGTAGACTGGGGCCCAGGATAGCTACATCCATATAACTGCACAGAGCAGGTTGACTGAGCCCCAGGGCGTCCAGAGGCCCTGTCTTCTCTCTTCTAGGGTAGACTGGGCCCCCACCGAGCACCACAAACTGGATGCCCAAGCGTGCAGGCGGAAACTAACCAATGCTAAACAGGCAGCACTAAGTGAAGTATTACTGTACCTCTCTAAAGGACACAATCACTTCTACTTGTAAGGTTTTGCTAACAGCCTTATGGATTGCCATCAGATATGGAATTTTAAGTTGACCCTGTTCTGTCAGAGGAGGAGAAAGAAAGAAAAGGAACAGCAAAACCAAATCTGCGCCAACTGATGTGCTATTAAGTCATGGCAATTTGCCGTGTGCGCAGCGTTCCCAAAAATCCAGGTGACAGTGACTTGGTACAAATCATCCACTTATTAACAAAGCACAGGACACGATGCCTCCTTCTGAAAGACAGCCCTCCTTTTCATACCTGAATGGGGTGTTCTCGGGGTCAACCATGGCTTTTATCCGGGCAGCAGCAGCTGCAGCTCCTCCTGCGGCAGATTCAGGGAAACAGGTATTGACGTAATTGGGAGGGGGCCCCTCAAACCGGTCCACCCTCTCTTGCAGGATCCGCTCCCAGTTTTCTAGGTTCCTGATGACGGCAATGCCCAGCGGCGATTTCACCGGGAGCTCTGGGAAAAAAACAACAACACAATGATCAGCGGCAAGAAGGTGTGTTTGGATGGGGATTTTTTTTTTAAAAAAAGTCACTTTCAGCAAAACAACAGCACTGTACAATTCTTGCAGAAATGACAACTCTATCCTGCTTATGCGGTTTACGGCAGAGAGCTTCTGATGGCGCTTTTCAAATACTTGAAAGGCTGCCCCACAGAGGGGCAGGGGAAGGGCTCGGTTCTCGAGCGTTGCAGAGGGCAGGATCCATAACAAGGGGCTCAAGTTAAAGAAAGCCAGATTTCAGGTGAATATGAGGGGGAAAAAACTTCTTAACTGTTACAAGCGGTACGAAAATAGAACCTGTGACCTCACGGGGAGACGGTGAGTGCTCCAACGCTGGAGGCCTTCAAGGGACAATTAGACACCCCCCCCTGTCACCTCTATTTTGATGTTTATTCCTGCCTTGAGCAGGGGGTTGGATTCGACGGCCTTCGAGGCTTTTCCCAACTCTGTTATTCTGTGGTTCTATGATTATACTCTATAATTTTCTGGAAAGGGAAGGAGGGTCTGTTTTAATGTCATCCTTCTTTGCAGTTTTTTCGACGGCAGTCAGATGACATCAGTGAGGGGTGCTTTAGCCTCAGGTTCTTGCGGATGATCCTCGAGTTCCTTTTTAGCTCTACAATTCTTTATTCTCATTTTTTCTTTTCTTTTTTCCATGTTTGCTTTTTTTTCTCCCCCCCCCCCCCCCCGCATTAATAAACATCTAATTTTTGGTTAGCTTGAATGCAGTCTTTGTGACTTTATGTTCTGCACCTCAAATGCCATTTATGGGGTAATGGTGGCATAAATTCAGTGGGATTTATTTTTGCACGAACTGACTTCTGATGACACTGCTCGGGGTGCGTTCTTCTCAAACGCTCACTTATGATTAAAGAGTGTGCCGCTTTCTCACCTGATATCTCTAACCCTGTAATGGGGAAAAAATTCTTCACGTTGTTCAGAGCGAGCTTGACCATCGCCAAGTGGATGAGCGCCCAGCTGCAAAGAAAAGGACAGTTTTGTTCAGCAAAAGAGAAACTCAGATTTAAATTGTGGCTCAAAGTTTATCACATTCTTGCAAGTTAGGTGTTTATCAAAAGAAGCGAGAAACCAATAAACAGCCCAGTCCTGCGGTTGTTCCCTTGGGAAGCCCACGGCGTTCCCCGGATTTACCTCCAGGTTGGTTGCCCCCCCCGCCCCTTCCCAGAAAGCCTTGAGCTCCATGACGGGAGAGCAACGAGATGCCAACAGAGTTAGCTGAACTCGGATCCATCCATGGAACCAATTCCCAAAGAGGGGCCCCATTCAAGAGGTAAAGGGCATGGCAGGAACTGCTCCAGTCCGCGCTACCTGTAAGAGTTGGGGTCCTTGTGCTCCAGGATCTGCGTATCCGAGAGGAAAGCATCCTCATCGTCCTCATCCTCACTATGGATGCTTTCATCAGAGTCGTAGATCACACCACTGTCTGAAAAAGGAAGGAATGGCTGTAAAGAAAGGACAGAATTAGACATCAACATGGTTTTTTTGCCAACAAGCGCCCTGACATCATCATTTCTTATCCTCATTTAAAAAACAACAACAACTTTTCATGTGCAGGTAAAAAGAAAGCCGGTTTCAAACAGAAACCTCCGCCTGCATTCCTAAAATGCTTGGAAAGATGGGCACGAAACCATTCCCTCTATGAGCACCCCTTTGGTGAGCGGCTGGTTCGGCAGGGGACGTCCAGGTCTTGGGGTCCAGGAGGAACCCCTGGCTCTAAATCCAGCTGTTCAACCTAACAGCAGCAATCCTGTTGCCCAGTTGCGCAAGCCGTGCAACTCTGGGGAGCAAAGTAGCTGCGTAGCTTCGTGGCTGGGAGTTCGATTCCCCCCCCCCAGGACGCCTTGACAAGGGCTGGACTCCACGATGCACAAGGTCTCTTCCAGCTCTGTGATATGAATCTATAAATCTCTATAGAGTGGCTCCATCCAAAGAGAGAAGAGCTGCGAAGGGGGAATCCCGCCTCCAGAAGGTGGACCCTGGACCTAAAACGCCGCCTTCTTTCCAAGGAAGAGCAGGAGCCCCACCACCCTCCTGATCTGTTCGTTCAGCTGGACTCTTCCTCTTGCCCCACCCGTCAATGAGACGCGTTTACGACACAAAAAAACCCGATCTACCTTTGCGATGAAATAATCCAACATGCTGAGTTCGGGAGGGATGAATTTCTCTTTGTACGAAGGCCTCTCGGCTGGCACGGGCGGGGGGACGCTGTCCTTCACGGGCCTCCCCGGGACTAACATCCTCATGTTGAACCGACGGCGGTGTTTATCCATTTCCTCGGAAGGAACGGGAGGGGCTGCAAGGCAAAGCAAAGGGTTCAGCTGCGAGCCGGGATCGGCAGCTCCTGGCCAGTCCTTTCACGGGCCCCTTGCTCGGCATCTTTGGGTGAAAATGTCCGTGTTCTCTTTGGAAAAGTGTAAAAAACAAACCAACCAACAAACCAAAAAAATAAATAAATCTCATCAAAGTCGTTAGGTTGAAAAGGAAAAAAATTAAAAAAACACACTCAAGCTATTCAGAGCTACGACACCTAGAAGGCCAGAGCAACTGTAATCTTCCGTCAGACCTTATTTAACGAGAGGAGCGGCACCATTTGTAACCAGAAGGAGAGCAGTCGACGGTGCCAGGGAGGTTTTCCAATGGGTCCACCAGTCAACGTCTTCTAGTCTTAGAATGACAACTCCTCACAACGTTTGGAAACGCTTACAATTATCCTGTGCCATTTCAGCCTTTGTTAGAACGGTCAACACAAGGGTATGCACAACCCCTAATGTTTTCTTTTTTTCTAGAAGTGTGTTTGGGAAAACAGGACCGAAGATTACAGTTACCAGGTTCACATAGATATATGTGCCAGGTACACAGATGAACTTCTCTTAACGTTGGTCAAATATTGCCAAATATTGGTCAAGCATCGTTAAAACCGTCTCCGAAATAATTAGAATAATAATTGCAATAGTAGGCAACACCTGTGTATTGCTTTTTTAAAAATATTTTTGCAACAGATTTGCTGTCCTTTCAAGAAGAAAATTTATTCTTGTGAAAGAAGAAAGACTGTTTCCCCTCTTTTTAAATCTGACCTGTTAGGAAGGGCCAGCTTAGCTTATGCGTTCCTAAGAGTTAAGAATCAGCAATGGTGTTCCGGCTTGGTCTTTCTAGTTCTAGAAAACGCCATTGAGAAACTGCTCACAGTGGCCACTGTAAACAAAGCAACGGCCAAATGCAAGCCCGTCAACCCGTTCCAGTTTACGTTGCAAAGAAAAAAAAGAGGGGTGTGTGTTTCGTTCTAGCCTTTTCCCTCTTGCTGAGCCTTTATAAAGCAGTCCACCTGCCGGCTCAGAGGTCAACTGGGGCAATTTTAAGCTGCAATTTTAAAGGGCAGGGGGAAGCTTCTTTCAGCCTGAGAACCAAATGTCATTCCAGAGAAATCTCTCCAGAGCCACACACCTGATGTGGCCAGGGACAAAGGGGAAAACGAGAGAGCACAACATTTTGGTTGGAAGTGCTCGTTGGTGGCCTGACAGCCTTGAAAGAGAGGCAGTTCCCACTTTGGGAAGGGAAAAAGCCCTCGAGGGGAAGCCGAGGCATGTCAGCTACCCAGGGAAAGTGGTGGGGCCACTTGGAGAAGCTCAGGGATCCTACAAGGGCCCCCCCGGGGGGGGTCCCCTGGGCCTGAGGGGTCCCAGTCTTTCTGCAAGGACTGGCCGGGCTCCTTCAATGCTACGCTCCTTGTTCAGGGTTCTCAAAGCTGGAGCAGAAAGGAGGCCAAGAGGTGGCCTATTGTTTTGCTTCATGGATTATCGGACAATATTTGACCACGGTGAAAAACAGGCTGTCACTGAATCTATTTCTCATCCCTACACACAAGGAACGGCTGGCTACGGGACGCATCTTTACAGACCTTCATTAATGTCCTTTGCATCATCAGAGACAGCATCTGCTACTAGGGTTAAAGAAATTTGTTTTCATTAGAAGGAAGGAAGGAAGGAAGGCATGATGGAACGCGAGCACTGAAACCGGGGCCTCTTCAGGCAGAATTCCCGGGAAAACGAAAACCCCGGTCCTTCCCACTTCTTGCCGTATCACAGAAGGGCCTTGCCATCAACCAGAGAACCTCTGGCTGGGTTTGCAAGCCAGGATCAAACTCACTTAGTTCAATTCTAACCCTGCTTAGTGTCAAGACAGATGTAACGGTACACCATGATCATGGAGGACGGGAGGTGTCGTTGAATAACACGGTGACGATTACAGGTTCCTGAAGGCTGATTTAAAGCTTCATGGTTTTGCAGAAATTTTATTTAGCACCAGGACCAGAACAATGTTTGAGATAAGTTAACGGGTTTCAGTTTCAGTTAAGACTTAAAACCGTCCATCCGTAACTTATTTAACATCTATGGAGGGTGGTACGTATGTATACATGTACACTGTATATAAAATAGCGTGCTGCTTATATAAAATAGAAAATAAGTTGAAGTAAGTAAGTAGCCAATTATCGTGATTTTTAAAATAAACTCCTGACCTCCTCCATTTGAAGGCTACTGCTATTCTGACTAATTTGCATGAAAATCTGTATGCAATTACACAGAAAGGACAAAGGAACAGATAAGGATAAAGAGTAACCACGGGGTGGGGGGGAAGCAGCAAAGAGAACAAACAAAAACCCATCACGCCACGTGTCCTCTCGGGAATGCCTCTCGTCCAGGAAAACAAACCATCGCAATCAGCACCCACGGGTCTCACCACTGCGCTTTGAGTCCCGGCCAGCAGCTTTCTCGTTGCTGTCTGATAAAATAATGGGATCTGATGACTGTGGACGTTTTAAGGACCCTGCATCTTCTGTGCTAGTGAGTCAGCCTTGTGGCTGATCTGAATCGAACAAATGAGGAGGAGGAGGAGGAGGATTAGAGCCACAGCTCTAAGCACAGAGGAAGTCAGCAGAACCGGTCGGCACCGGAGTGCAATCTGTTCCGTACAGCAACACCTCGCCTTGTACTGCCTTGTTTGGTGTGGATTCCCTCCCTCGAAAAGGGGTGGATGGGGCCCCTGAGAGAGCAGCAGACCTGTCTACCCATTCTGGACCCCCGGGAGCAGACCGGGCTGGGTCTCTGGAAGAGTGGACTACCTACCATGTGCCAAAGTGGAGCAGGCCACCAGAAGACACAGCATTCTCTCAAGAAAACAGGAGTTCTATCCCAAAATGTAAGTGAAGCTAGGTAGTGGATGTGTTGGTCCTCTGCATCATTAATCCAGTTTTGTTTCTATGGGAGTGCAAAGCTTATCTCCCCCAAAACTGTCCTTCAGACTCTCCAGGTGTTTTACCAAGCATTGTCTACAGAAATTTAAGCTTCTCCTTTCTAATCCATGAGGACTAGAAACTTTATTCCATTTGCTAACACACTGATATGATCAAGACATAAATCCTGCTTGGAATCAAACCAGGGCTTTACACCACTGCAGCTACGCTGACTTCAGCAAGACCCTAGAATTGCTCAGCTTTCTGCAGGAAACTTCTCCTTGGCTTATTGGGACTATGGCTTAATGGTGGTTAAACTCTGTCTTAGCGTACTGAACGACAACGTAGCAACAGGAACAAAGCTAGACGCGTGTGCAGAGCAGTGCCTTTTGTAAAAAAAAAGTGACAGTTTTGTGCATTATGATGCACATTTAGGGCAAAATTGCTAAATTGTTTATATAATCCTTTTAAAGGAAGAATTATGAAAACATGCTGAGATATGAAGCCTTTTTTTCTTTCAAAAAAGAAGAAGAAAAAGGATGTCCCGGTTACCTGGAATACTTTCCGACTGCCGTCTGGGTTTGATCACCAGCTTGGCCCCACCCCCGAAGACGGCCGCCCACATCCGGCTGTTCAGAGGGTGAGCGGCCAGGCGGAAGAGCTCATTGCAGGCGTTCGTGGCGAGGGCCTGGATCAAGAGGCTCAGGTAGACGGCGACGACCGCTTCGCAGAGCAAGACGTTCAGCTTCGGCTGGTCCTCATCCTGTGCCGTGCTCAAGAGATTGATCAGGCAGCTCACCCCTGCAAGGACACCCAAGGGGAAAGACCGCTGAGGACCGGCCACCGCCACGGCTTCTCCGTGGAGGGGCAACAGGTCCCATAAGGGGGAAACTAGCAGAAGGCCTGGCGGGGGATGATGGGATACATAGTCTTAGGACCCGCAGAGGACCTCAGTTGCCTGTCTTGACGTATCTCATGCAACTCTGCAAAAAGGACAGGAGAGATTTCGTTTTTAAAAAAATTATGTTGTAGCCTGCATGTCATCTGTTGCCACTGTCCCAGGTTTTTAAGTATGTTTTTTAAAAAATTATATTATATTTTATATTTGTGGGTTGGGTGGGATTTGACTGTGTTTTTTTTTAAGTTCACTTTATCGCTGGAAACTGCCCAGACTAGTATAGCAAGGCCACTAGATGGCATGGTTTGAAAATTTAATAATTAAATCAATGAATCAAATAACCAAGAGCAAACTGAAGTCCTACTAGTTCTAAGGAGAAAGAGCTGAATATTATTGCCTACGTGCGGGCTTAACTAGCTCAGAAAGGGGACAGGGCATCGCTCTCTCCCCCAGGAACAGTCCAGCATGTTTTCTCACCAGGCCACTGAGCAGGCAACGAATTCGGCGTTGCGTGTTCTTCGATGCTTTCTGTCCTCAGCCGGCGACGATCGCTCAGCAGCAGTCCTTGGTAAACCATCCCCGTAAACTGGTTGGCGTCTGTCTGGCTGTTAAAACCAAGTTTTCACACCTCTCAGTATGACGTGCTTAACAGTGCTTTTATGTCTAGTACAGATACCTGTTTTCAGGGGACACACTGACTTTTTTGGCAGTGGAGGAAGCTCTTTCCCCCCTCGGCCCCATTTCTCATTCACGGCTCATTCGGAATGGTTTTAATCACACAGAAAGGAGGCCCAAAATGGGCCACTGTGTTGACAGAGTTTTTAAACCATCAGATCTCAATTGAAAACTATGTCCTTCGATCTGTTGTGAGGATCAAGCCCTCAATTACAAAAGAGGACAACACAGATTTGTAAAAAACCACCACCACCCGGTCAATGAATTACCTGTAGCTGTGACTGTCACACAAGGCTTGGTAGATAGAGGCAGAAAGGGAAGCAGCCAAGGAGTACAGAGTATGCACCTAAGGAGGGAGGGAGGGAGGAAACGTCAACTGAGTTTCAGAGAACTCCACAACAAACTGGTGCCGGGCCAACTTTTTCAATGTGGTTTTTCAGAACAAAGTCTCTGGCTTGGAAAACTATGTGTCTGGGTACATACAGGTGCAGGGAAAAAGAGGCCCATGGAAAATACACAAAATTTTATTAGCTAGTGCAGTGTTTGAACTAGGTCAAAACTGTTACCCAACCAAGCAACCACCCACTCATCCATCCATCCATCCATCCACCATCCATCCATCCATCCATCCATCCATCCATCCATCCATCCATCCATCCATCCATCCATCCATCCATCCATCCATCCATCCATCCATCCATCCATCCATCCATCCATCCATCCCAACCCCCACCCCACTCCCTAGCTAAATGGTGGGAGGTAAAATCCATCCCTACCTAGAAGGGTCACAAGCGGCCCACTCAGGGACGAAGCAAATGAAGGGTCCCTCATGTTAAGAGTCTACAACTCTTATGCCCCCCCTTGTGCCTCCATCTGAACGTATCAAGTCAGGGAAGATGGCTCTATGCGACCGGATCTTCTGAGGGCTACAACCTCAACTGCATTAGGTGCACCCTATTCTTTGGCCCGTCCTTTCTCCCCTCCTTGGTTACCTTGGCATCCTCAATGTGAGGATGGGGTGGGGTCTTCATCTGGACAATGGTATGAAGGATATCGTGGACGTGGTTGTTTAAGTAGAGGACCGGGTTGGCTATCACCGTTTTGGTGGATGCAATGCTTGCCGAGAGCAAAGGCAGGGTGGTGGGCAACGGAAGGGGGGACTGGAGCTGCTTGACGGTGGTTTCCTGGTGGGAGGGAGACAGAAGGGCCCAAGTGAGCCTGCAGGAGAGGGAGTGCGTGCGTGAGCGAGTCCCCAGAAAACATGCTAGGCATGGCTCCCAGTGTCCCTTTTTGCAGCGAAGCCCTGCCCTACTAAGGGACCTCTTTATTGGCCCAGGTGCCCTGGCTAAGAAATACAAGGCAACCCAAGCCCTGCCAGATCAGACCAGGGCAGGCCTCCTACGTCCCACCACCCGATTTCTACAAGGGTCAGCTTGCCACGCCAGGGGGAGGCAGGGTCTCAGGAGTTCTCCAGCACCGTCTGGCTCATGCTGCCCCCACAGCTCACTTCCTTGGGCATGGGGGGAGGGGAAGCCTTACCTGCTGGGATTCTTGCAAGAGGAACTTCAGTTCCATCCGCACGGAGGCCAGCCCCCCACCTTGCGCCCCGTGGAGGCTGCAGTAGCTGAGGAAGACTCTCAGCAGAGCCTGGTTCTTCTGCAGCCACCACTTGCGCCGCTCGGCATGCTCCCGCTTCGCTTGCAGCCGGCGCCGCTCCATCTGATGCCGCTCGTACGAGCCCACCTCGGGCTTGTCGGCCATTCTGTCGTGATCCAGCAGGTCTCCGTTGATCCGTCCGTCCGCCTTGCAGCCGTCTTTCCCCCGGGCTTCGTGGTTGCAGACTTCGTGCAGAGCCGCAATCTCCTTCTCCAGCCAGTTGTACAGCTGGAAGCGGAGCTTCCCACCGTCGACCTCGTAGCCGGTCGCCAACGTCCTAAGTTCGGTCATGAGGATTTTGAGGCAGGCTCGGAACTTCAGCTGCTCAGCAATCACGTCCACCTCGGTCTCTTCTGCCTCCAGGTCCTCGCCTTGACTGGCGTCCGGGCTTCTCTCGTCCTCTTTCCTACCTCCCGCTTCCAGTTTCGACTCCTTCATGACCAAGCCACCCTCCTCCTCCTCCTCCTCCTCGTCTTCCTGAGAGCCGCTCTTGTCGTCTCCCCAGTCGAGGGTCAGCGGCTCGTCCTCCAACACGATCGCCGGCTTACTCCAGTCAATTAAGGATGCAGAATCGGCCTGGTTTAGTGAATCCGATGCCGTCAATGCCGGCTGTGCCCAGTCGACGGCACGGCTTTCGCTGAAAGACCTGGGCTCCGCCACCACCCCGTTCTGCAACGTGGGGCTCGGGGTGGCTCCCTCCTTCTTGAGGGAAACGTGGGACGGGCTGCTTATTCTGGGAAGCTTGGACAGGACCTCGAGAGCCAAAACTGGGCACCCCACTTTAAAGTGCGCATTGGCGGTCGTGAAAAAAAGCTTCCTCTCAATGAGGTTGATTTTGTCCACAAAGGCTTTCTCGGCTTGCAGCCCTAAGGTCGCCAGCGTCCCATCGGGGAGGCAAAAATTCCTTCGGATGAGCAAGGGGTGGGTTCGGAGGTAGTTGTAGAAGCTGAACACCACCGGATTGCAGGATTTGACGATGACTAGAGAGGGGAGAGAGAGAGAGAGAGAGAGAGAGAGAGAGGCTCACTGAGACTCTTTAAACACACACACACACACACACACATACAGTGAGCGAGCGAGAAGAAGAGAGAACAAGCCACAAGGGCCTATTAAAATGCTAGCGGCTTCAAAAGATTCTATCAAACTGATAGAACGGTGTAGTATAGATCCAAATAGGCTCCGAGCACAATTGGGGGGGGGGGCAGAGGATTCCCATCTCAACTCTCAACTCTGCCAGTTCTTTTGCTTTTTGCTCACAAAACTCACAGAAAAGAGGGTTATATATTTTTAAAAGGTTTCATATGTTTTGTTTTTGAACTACCTTAGAAGGGATGTTAAACCAATGAATTCCGGTTGCAAGTGCCTTGAGCAAGTAAACAGAGAGATTAAAAAGATCCTTCCAACACATCTCCCAAACGATTTGGTGTGTGGTGTTTTGTTTTTTGTTTTTACCTGGGTTTTCATCTTCTTCCTTCGGCGTTTGCTCCAGTAACGTGTCCAGCGCCCTCGTGTACTCTTTCACGACCCAGTAGGCGAGACTTCGCAAGAAGGGGTCAGGGTGGAGTTTAGCACAGCTGAACCCGGTTCCATCTTTCTCACAGCCCAAAATCTTCTCATAAAGGATGGAAGTGTAAGTGGCGGAAATCTCAAATTCTGATTCGTATAACCGGGCAATAATCATAGCCAGCTGGATGTCCTCCATTTTCTCAAGGCACACCTGTGAAGCAACGCGTGGGGAAGGCCCCGCAAGGACCTCTTAGATTAGAAAGGAAAGGTGGGATAGGAATATTTTAATTTGGAAAAAAAATAATAATGCGCCAAAGTAATCCAACTGGCAGCCCCAACTAGAGTAGACTTTCTAAATCAATGGGAATTGCACAAGTGCAGCCCAATCATTCAACAATGGTCTGACTCTTCTTAAAACTTCAGATCGGATTTAAGGGGCTCACTGACAACGTTTAAATTTGTTCAGAGCCCTGCAAAATGGAACAGAGTAGTCTATGACTAGATGGGTGGGGTATAAGTATAATAAATAAATAAATAAATAAACAAACAAACAAACAAACAAACAAACAAACAAACAAACAAACAAACAAACAAACAATAGGGTGTTGGTGTGCAATTAACCAGACAGCAACAGATAAACCTATCATTTATTAGCTTCAAAGCTTTCTCAAATCTTTCACCCCCGTGTCAAGCCTTACCATCTCCTACTAAAAGGAGACAATAAATAGCAATGTTGTTTTGTTTGACTTATTTTGTATTAGTTCAGATCCCTGCAAAAACTGATATAAATGGATATGCAATTTAAAAAAAATAAAAGCATTGTTGCCCATAAAAAAGATGGCTCCCTCAGGCATATCCTTCCTGCATTCTTCTATGGCTGGATCTATGAGACCCTGGAGCAAAACAACACACCCTGTTCATACCTCTATGGCATCCTTTAAAGAGCCCGCTAAGAGGAAGAAAGCCGCTGACTGTTCGAAGCGTTGCTTCCCCAGCAGAGAAAATGCATTTTTCAAAGCCGCTTTGCGCCATCTGTCTTCACTGAAATTATGGCTGAAGAACTGTGTCATTTTCTCATCATGCTGAGATCTGTGTATAAAGAAGGCAAATAGATTCTGCTGCATTAGCACTGCAGCCCTATATCCATTCATCTCAGAAGCCAGACTTAAAGGGGCTTCTTTCTGGGAAGACAGGACTAGAACTGCATCAGAAGGAGACCCCAAGAGGCAGAAATATGGCACTTCATTCTGTAACTCACCCTAACCTTATTTATATTCCAATCTTTTTTTAAAAAAAAGCCAACAGTAATAGAACTTACCGGAACAGCCCCCACACAACGGCTTTTTTCTTCATTGCAAGGTAAAAAAGGGCCGCATCCAGGGCGTCACTGTTCCGCTGAAAGGCTGCTTTTGCAACCTGCAACATTGAACAGGGGAGGGTTTTAAAAAATGTCCCCCTCCAGCTTCTCCATGAGACTGCGGTATCATTAAGAGTCTGGGCAGTAAAAGTTAAATTGTGGAAGTGATGTGATATCTGGAAGTCAGGATCAGCAAATGCTTTCCATTCTCAGAAGTGACCTGGCTTCAAATAAAGCTGAGCTGAACAGCCCCTGCCTCTCCTCCTGCAGGACCCCTGATTCCTTGAGAGAGTCTGTGGGAATATTCACTTCTGCCAAGGTGGCAGGCTCTATGGATTAGGTGGGCAGCATGCATTCCTCCTCCTCACCCCTTTTTGCCCAGCTGGTTTCCAGGGCTAAACGCCCAAGAGAAGCCATTCTGCCTAGCCTTGCTCTGAAGGGGCCTTCCTGGGGCTGGTGGGGAAGGAGGCAGCTATTTGGATTCTATGGCACCTCCCCAACCCTACAGCATCAGCTGTACTGAATGAGATGAGACGGTGCCTTCGCAGGCGTTAAGATTTTCCCATGCAATGGGAAGGTAAGCAAAGATGGGCTCAAGCTGACCTTTTCCATGCACCTCCGAAGAGTGTTAATGTTTCTGACCCACCAGCCGATCCCCATCGCTCTGAGCTCTGACCACTGTGGATCGCCTCTTTGAATCGCAGGGATCATGTTGATTAACTCTTCTTCTGCCTCAGAATGAAAAGCCCAGGCAAAGTGGCAAGTAGAAATACCTAAACAACAGTAGAGAAGCGTTTATTATTTTTTTAAAAAACAACTGGTTCATTAGGCAAAGTTCATCAGGATCTTGGCAGATGAACAACTATTAGGTCCAGAACGTTGCAATTTAGTAAGAGGGACAGAATAGTTTCTACAAGCGCTTGGGAATTAAGAACACGGTTTAGTGAAAACATTACTTACTTTGCTTAAAGAAGGAGTCAAAACATGCACCACACAGCACTATTCTGTAGGGACAATAGTTCATCTGCTTTAAATTACAGAAGCGTAGAAATAGAATCACCTATTACCTTGATGGAGGAGCTGAACACGATACAGAGGCGGAAGTGATGTCAGAAGGCATGTATGTAAACGCATAGCTAATAGATACCGCAAGCCACATTCATCTAAAGTCTCTCTCCCTGTAAAAATAAAATATTAAAATACAATACAAACAGATCTACATGCTGTTCCTTTAGAATATGTATGTACTGCTTTTCAATGAGAAATAGTTTGTACATACATGCACACACATGTCTGTGCGTGCACACACACACACACACACACACACGTACATGCATATGTGTGCTAGGATTACGATGGAAGCAAACAAACCAGAGAATTTTTGGCTACTTACAAAGTTCCGCTTTTCATTCAGACTTGGAAATGATGGTTAACAGCTTCCACACAAGCCATGATATTAAGCCAACATCAAACTATAGTTTAATATCCTGGCTTGTTCCAACGCTGTTCAGTATGGTTTCTTGTTTTGTCTGAATTGGGTAATTATAGTTTGGAGGCTTGTTGACTAGCTTGCATGAAGTTGCACAAAACTTGATCAAACAAAAATTAGAAAGCTATGTCTTGGGTTAATTGAAAGATATTTTTCCAGTTTACAATCAATAAAATTATTGAAACATCAACCACAGCAGTCAAATACATAATGGAGGTACGATTTAAACAGCCAGTCTTCAGCAGTTCTTAGATGCTGCAATTAAACCCACAACAGTAAAGAAAGAAAGATCTTAAGGCACAAGTCAAGGTGAGAATTTTAGATTACTTGAAGGACACTGTACCAGAATTAGCTGGCTCACAGCTTCCTTGCCTGTTCACAAACAATATCTGTGCATTACTGTTATTAATGATGCCATTCTGTTTTGATAAATTCGTTACCAGTGGTACTGAGGAGCTATCAGAGCGGCTTGCTTACCTGAGTAATGCTTGTCTCTATTTTCGTCCAGTTCCGTGCTGGTGGTGGCCACCGTGTCGGCCAAGGCAACCAAGAACATCTGCTCGAGGCGCGTGAGCCCTGGCAAACTGGAGTGCATGAGATGGCTTGAAAGGACACTGGCATGTTCTTGGCCGAAGTACGTCGGCCCGTATTGAGAGAGATTGATCACTTTGGATTTATGCTCTCTCTTCTCCAGCTCAAAATCCATGAAGTCATCCGTGGTCACCTGCTGGACCTGGAAAAGGTCCAAGTAATGATCCTCGGTCTTCCGCTGAGTGTGCTCTTCTGAACCTTGGGGCTTCTTGGTGGTTTCCTCGGTTTTGTACGTCGTATCGTGGTCTGCTGCCAGGAGGGCATATAAAGGCAATGGAGGAATGGAATCGATCTCCGTGTAGTCCCGGTTGCCGTCCTTTCCGGCAGTGACCACATCCTTGGCCGTGCTCCCGCTGACACTAATCGTCCGTGAAAGGTGGCGCTTGGAGCCGCCGTCGGCAGCTTCCGGGTCTTTCACCACGGCCACTTCCCCCGCAATGCATTTGACCAAGTGGGAAAGGATGGCTTTCGCTCGGCGGACTTTGCCTAAGTCCATCAGCTCCAACAGCTGGGTCGGGTGGTATTGTGGGAGGGTTGGCGAAAGGAAGTGAGCGGCTTCGAAAAGGCCTCCGTCTTGGACCACTGTGGGCGTCCCGAACACATCATCCACGATACCTGCTCCGTCAACGACACTGGTTTTTTTGGACAACAAACTAGCCTTCGCAGAGTCTTGAACGGGGGAAACATCTCCCAGAAAAGCACCATTTTCACCGTCTCCCGATCTGGCGGCATGCTTCCACTGCGCATAGACGTGCATTTCGCAGTCCATCCCCACCACCAGAATCCCGTCTCTGACCCACGAAAGAGAGACGGGCAGCGAAGGGGTTCCGTCCACCGAAGAAACCAAGTCTATGGACCGAAGAAGGACCCATTTCGACTTGATGCCTTGCTTGATGCTGCCCCCTAGTGGTAAAGTAATGACAGCTACGCCATCTTTGCTGCTGGTTTGTTCCGTCACGATCCCCGAAAGCCGGCCGTACATGAATATATTTGCACCCACGCCGACTGTAAGGATATGGGAGCCGTCTTCTTTCGACACCCAGTCCAAGTGAACGAGGTGCTTGATATTGGGCAGGGCGTATCGGTCCCTGTTCAAAAAGACATCGGACTTGCTATATACAAATAAGTTACTGTCTACACTAACTCTGGAGTCAAGGACGCTCCCAACTTTAACGAGATCATCCAGATGGATCGTCTGTTCCAAAACCCATTCTGATCCTCCGGTAGATTCACACTCAAAAATACACACGTGCATAGAAAATTCTTTGGAAACAAAGCCGTTGTGGTGGACGGGCTGCTTGTAGGCCACGGCCAAGCGGCCCGTGTAGGAACAGCTGACGGCCACTGGCCGGCCCACGATGGAGACGGTGCTGCTGTCGTCCTCCCTCTCATCGTTCATCAAAGGCCATTTCTTCCAGTGGTAAGTCTCCTTCGCTTCCCCTCTGCTGCTCACGACGGTCTCGACTGAACACCTCCAGAACCGCACAGTGTTATCTGAGCAGGACGTCACCAGCAAGTAAGGCGCGAGGCAGACCGGGTAAATGGAGGAGGAGCTGAGGTGTCCTAAACAGATGCAAAGGACCCTTCAGTGTGGCTCAAGGGGAAACGCTTTCACAAAGGCCGCCTTCAGAACCAGCCCCCAAATCTTGCTTCTAATTTAGGTCACGTGAAATGGCAAAGAGGGGTCGGAAAAGCCAGGAGCAAGTTAGAGTTTAAGGGAATGGCCCTCTCTACCGCAGAATTCACTTTCCCCTCACATAATGGGATTTCATCAGAGAGACCTGCCGCTCAGCCGTCAAGAGTTGCAAACAGCCCTTATTTGCACTCCAATAATCAAGGTGGCTAAACAAATCACGCTGAATGCAAGATATTCAGGTGATGAAAATCATGTGTTACCACAACCAGAAATGAAGGTGGCTAAACAAATCACGCTGAATGCATTCAGGTGATGAAAATCATGGGTTACCACAACCAGAAATTGTTCACCCCCTTGCAGGAGCACCTCTTCCAGAAACATCCCTAACACAGAAACAAAAGCAGCCATTACCGTACCTAGGGCACAGTGAATAAACCCATGCCTAATTTGAAAAAAGACTGGGTTGGGACACAAGCTTAACTAACCAGCTACCCATCTAAGTCCTCAACAATATTTTACCTGCAGAGGGAGTAGCTCGTATAACCTCTACCCCAGGTGGAAGATCCAATGGGTAACTATAAACCAGCTTAGAACTCAAAATAAGTTTGCTAGCGGTCTGAAGATTGGCAATGGACGCAGAACGAGGCATTGGAGATGTGCTGGGAGAGGTTTCTGGAGAGGAGTCCGCCATCTGTTGCCCAGGTAAGCCTAGGTGAGGTCCGGAGGGCGGTGCTTCGAGAGGCTTTGCTTGAAAGAAGCACAATGGAGAGAAAAAAACAAAAGCTTCAGTCTGTAATAACAGCAGAGTTTTCTCACAAAACATAAGCACAGACTTGTTTAGCTAAAATTTGCGAATATCCTTTCAAAGGTCTGGGGATGATTGAATTTATTTCCCTTCCACAGGTGGATGGGAGAAAAATATCCTAAGTAAGCCAAAATATTAAATGACTATTATTTTGGGAACAAGCAAACCCAAACAGTCCAGGCACTCACCTAAACAGGCCTGCACGGATTTAAGGTGCAAATGCCACATGTGAAGGATGGAGCAGCCACTTGCGTCTTTTTCAATTACAACGAGATAAAACTTTTCGGAGAAAGGGGGTGGACGATAGCCTGTTCAAAAATAATTAAAAGAAGAAAAACAAAGCAAGAATATGGTGCCGTGTTATTTCAATGAAAATGAAAGCAGGGCAACATTTAATTCCTAATCAAATCACATAACCAAGAACATCCAGAAATCCCAAAGGGTGTTTCCTTTTAATACCTTTTAAAGTTACTCCTGGTACCTAGCAAACAAAGGCCTGGTTCAGACAAGAGGGTCAAGGTTTATGTGCCCGAACCCACATTTCTTTGCTCCAGCATTGCACGAACAGAGGCCTAAACCAGGAAGCCCTTATGTTTCCTGGTGTATTACAATCAATGGCCCTTTGAGGCCAAGGTTTAAGGGAGACTGCTTCCCTCAGCAATACAATGGAAGTCATTTACGCCCAAGTAAATGTGCACAGGGTGGCATGGCAAGGATGTAGTCCTGCACGCAAAGAGATTAAATCACCCCAGCGGGGACCAGAAGGAGCTCAACAAGACACCGATTTGGGATTTCGATTGTGACATCCAAACCTAACAGGAGGTCCGCTCTCTCGCTGGTCACCCAGGGAATGAATCCAGAACAAACTTTGGCTTATTTCTTTGGCTGGTCGGTTGGCGCTCAAGTCCCAGAATCCAGATCTGTACGTGGCACCAAACTGGCCACTGACCCAGCACCTCTGCTAGGGAGAGTCTTTAACTTTCAGCAGTTCCTTTCCACAGCATCATGGGGTCTGCAGTTTGGGACGAGGCTTAGAATGCACACCTAGGGAGCTCTAGAACATTCCCCTGAATCACAGTAGAGGTGGCTCACCAAACTACACGTCCCAGAATGCTGTAAGAAAGAACCATGGCAGTTGAAGTGGGATTGAACGGCTCCGACCGAGTCGTGTAAACACAGTGGTTTGTCTGGCTGCTCCCACTGCAAGCCAAACCGATCAATCAGTATTGTACCAAGTTGTCTGGCTGCTCCCACTGCAAGCCAAACTGATCAACCAGCATTGTACCAAGGCCGCCTAGAGTGGACGGGTCGCCCAGACAGTCAGTCAGTCAGTCAGTCAGTCAGTCAGTCAATCAATCAATCAATCAATCAATCAATCAATCAATCAATCAATCAATCAAAGAAAGAAAGAAAGAAAGAAAGAAAGAAAGAAAGAAAGAAAGAAAGAAAGAAAGAAAAGAAAATAAAGGGGCTGCCTTCCAGAAAAGCCAAGTTCAGAAGCCACCGTTCTGAATTCTCGACGGTTCAGCTGTTGTTTCACCGTAGTCTAGTTGCTTCACTGTACCTTTAGACGGCTGGAAAAATATCTCTGCTTCCTTCTGCCCCCCATCTTCCTTATGCGGTTTATATCCCAAAATGAAGTCCTCTTGGAAGACGTGAAGCAACTGTGTGTTCGACCCGCACTAGAAAGAAAGAGGGAGAAACCAGCGTTCACGCCCGACTGTGCGCACACGTCAGCTTTAAGATCACCACCACAAAAGGCAGCTCTGAGTTCTGTGCAGGGCCTCGTGCCAGGGACTTCCTGTAGGTTTAGCTTTGTAAAAATAAAATAAAATAAAAAATACCGATTTAAGGGATCCCTCTGAGTTGGATGCAGCAGAAATCGCCAACGCTGAAAGGGCCGCAAGACCCATAACTTTGAAGATGGTGTAAGCCTGGGTGCAGCGAACGTCTCCTGATCCAAACAACAAGAGCCAATGGGACTCCCCACAAATGCAAACCTGCGCACACCCTCTGTGAGTTCCAGAACGGGAAGCCATGGCTCCACTTTAGCCCAGGCTTTATGGGGGAAAGCCTTGCATTTCCGGCGCTCAACCCAACACAGGGACTTTCAAGTCAATGGCGGAAAAACCACGCAACAGGCTCGTTCCAGAAGAAGATACGGCAATCAAAGTCTTCCTTAATTAATCACAGAGGAAGTACTCAGTTGATTAATTCACAACAGTAGGGGATGAAATTAGATTAATTTCCACCGGAGTTTGGGGAATTACATAACGCACACAGGACTTCCCTCCCAAAGCATTTCACAGGAGCTTGGATGGAGCAAAACCCTGCCTGCTTTTGCATATCGAAAACCCGGAACGCCTTGCTGTAGGAATTCCAGAAGGCGCTTGGAGCAACATTCTTGACGCCCCTTCCTGTGCCTCTCGATTGTCAGAATATAAGGCAAACCATGGCTCTGTTGACCCGGCAGCCAACCTCCTGCTGATGGGAAACCCAAATGCCGTACAGGAGCACCACAGTCCCTTCCTGGGGGGAAATGCAGCTGTACTGCAATTCCTACTAGCCACAGCCAATGTAGCCACTGGTGAGGATTATGGGACTTGTTGTCCATCAACGTACAGAAGGCCCAAATTCACTCTTTCCTAGTCTGGATGATGGTGCAAAATTTCATTCTCTTGAAGTCCCAACTCAGCCTCTGGGTCCCCCAGTTTCTCTATGGGTTCTTCTCAGTGTGCAAGGCTTGGTTTCCTGTACCAACAACTTTAAGGTACCCTGCACAGCATGCTGGGTTTTTTTTTGTCCCCACCCAGTACGAGAGACGGCTTTATACAACACGTCTGAAGCTATATTCCCACCATGTAGGCTAACACCAGTTTTATCAGAGGATAAAATCTCTCCCCTCCCCCCGCCTCCTTTTTTTCCTGGAAAATTTGGTATAGCAATTATGGTCATTTTATGTGGAAATAAATTATCAGGATGATATAATAAATGCTACCTGCAAAATTATTATTTTGCTGCCTTTCCCCACCGCAGTCATGCTCCACGTAACAATTCACAGGCCATTTACCTGATCGGTTATGGCATCCAGTTCAATAATGCACCCCGGACGAGCCGTTGACTGCTGACTCACAATGTTAAACACTTCACCAATGAGCTTCTGAAATGGGAGGAAAAAATATATATATAAAAACTCCCAACATATTTCTAAATTTAACCACATGGCCCAGCTGAGGCTCTGTGAGCATCCTTCTCGATGGATGTGATTTAAGTCCAGCCTCTTTTTCCAAAGCCGGGATTTGAGACTGCTGACAGCAGGGAACAATCTTATACTATATTTCAAATGATTATAAGTAGTCAGACCACCGGGTATGTAGAACACAAAAGCAATGTGAAAACACAATTGCAACACAAGAAACTGTAAGAAAAAAAAAGAGATTACAATAGTAAAACAGGAGTCTAACTTCCTAGTTCCACGGGAATTGTAAAGAGTGAGGTTCTACTTGTTTAGAAAATCAGGCAGCAGCAGGTATGCCTTCCCTCGCCCCACCACGCTCCAATGTACTGGATCCACTGCCCACCACTTCAATGCTATAATCTTCCAAGCCTGACCCTCCTTAGCTTCCGGAATCAAGGGAAACCAACCAGCGCATTCTGCCTGGCATTAAAGAAGGGAGTATTTCAAGACGAAGCCCAAATTTCAATCTGGGGCCAATCTGCCAAGGGGACTTACAGAGGAGACAGGGTCACTCAGCTCATCCAGCAGCTTCCGGGCATCCACCACGGCTTGGTATAATCTCAGGTTTTTGCCATCCGATGCCACGAAGCAGGCGCTGGCAGAATTGCAGTACGTACCTAATTTGGGAACAAGTATCAGTATAACCTTTATTGCAAGTGAGAGGCTTTAGTAATTACAGGAGGACTGAAATATCCTCGGGGAATCTGTTCCAAGCCCTCCCAGCGGATGCTGGAAAATGCAGAAGGATCAAACTCTACACATTGCAGGGTCTGTGACTCCCTTTAATGGCCAGTCCTGGTAAATACACCTTGGAAATACATAAAAATAGGTATTTCTGAGGGCTTTTATTTAGAATTTTCAGCCAGGGGATAAGTGAATCATGGGGATATTGCTTCCATGGGCAGGTGGTCCTACTGTATCCACAGAAAGGCATTAAGTTACTGTATTTTTCCATGTATAAGACTAGACTTTTATCTAAAATCTTTAGACTAAACATTGAGGGTCATTTTATACACGGAAGTAAGCTGAGGAGAGAACAAAAAAAAGTGGAGGGGAAAGCATGGTTCAAAGCCATCCTGCAGTGCTTTGATCCCTTTCCCCCTCTACTTGCTAAGCCCCGCTTAGATTTTGGGTTAGAAAAGTGGGGTCTGTCTTATACACTGAAAAATACGGTATTTCATTATGTGCTATCAGGAGACAAACAGAAGGCGTTTTTGATGGTCCTCAAATGTAGACACAGGGTTATCTCACAGCATATATACCTTTCCTCCATAGAGTATTCCACGCTTCCCAGCTTGAAAAAGATGATAACGGGGGTGGTGGTGATGATGTAGAACCGAAAAGACAGCACTATTCTCTCACTGAAACAGACCGAAATCTGACCAGAACAGCCCCAATGAATCAGTGCCCAGAATCTTACCGGTGGTCACATGAGGATTGCAAAACATGATGTGGCAAACTGACAAGTTATGTTTCGGTCTCATCTCTGCCCCGTGCCCAGTGGTGAAACCGAGACACATCTCAACACCTCAACCAATTAACTGCAATAGCGGCAGGAAATGATGCAAAGCTTAAGGGAACACCAGCAGGTTTCCTGGGAGTGGGGTGAAGAGATGCGTTGACCCGTTCTCAGTAACCGATTCCATGGGTCTACCCTACTTGGGACTAAACATGGGTTTTAGACCTGAATCTAGAAGACTTCTCGCCCTCCATTCCAAGGGTAACGAATCTTGGGAGCTGCTGTCCACGAAAGCTGGGAAGGTTCCAGGAGCTGTAGTCTTTTCTAAGCTCCGAAGATACCTCCCATTTTTTAAAAAGCAGCAAAAATATTTGTGGAATGAGGCCCAATTCAGAAGATATGTTGAAAAAAAGGGAGGAGAAAGGGAAAAACAACAACGACACCCAACCTTGTTTACGGCCCAGTTTTTTTTTTAAAGGCAAACGGTACTCACCAAGGCAATAGCTGGGAATCAGAGTCGGGAGCCAGGCCACGTTAGAGAAGGCTGAGGTATGGAGGGAATTGATGCGAGCCAGTTCCGAGACTCCCCCCGTGTAGGACAGAGGCCCGATTGGGTCTACGCGCCACAGAATCAGTTCACTGTAGATGGCGTTGGGGTCGTGGAAGGTGCGGGTCGCTGCGTTTCTGAGCTGCTGATGGGACGACCCTCTCAGGAGCCGCGCGGGATCCATCGTTTTCGTCACAGAGTCCCACGGCTGGTCCGACTCTGGGGTCAGGAGGGCGTTATGGTGGGAGGAGGTCAGCAGGAGAGGCAGCACCGAATGGCAAGCCAGGTCGTTCAGGTGGAAGCGGTGCCCGCAATACCTGAACTTGTGGGTCACCGTCTGCACCGTGGTGAACGCCGATCGGTCGGCGAATGAAACTGCCCACTGGTTGAGGGAGCCGTCAATGTGCTTGGAAATCATCATGACGGTTGCGGTGGTGAGGTTCATGTTGAAGCTGTCTTGGGAGCAGCCCGGCCGCCACCCGGACAAGCTGCCCGAAAGGCTGGCTCTCTTCTGTCCCTGGGCATCTCCAACGTCTTGCGCCGAGGGGGTGCAAGCGTACATCATGATGTTCTTACTGAGAGAGCTTGCGTCGCCCGACGGAAACGCAACTGGAATCTGAGATGCAAATGAAACCTAGGAAAAAGAAGTGTGTGTGTGTGTGTGTGTGAAGAATAACAGGAGGGCGCCCAAATAAACAGCCCTCTCTCACAAAATGTACACAAATGTTCTCCTGTCAGAAAGCGTGTGGAAGAAACTAGACATGGCGTTACATAAAGGGCGAGTATCTCGAAGCCGAAAGCTTAGAGGCCGCCCTTGGCCCCATCACCCAAGAGAGAGAAGGATGTGACCCCCACCTCTTCTGGGCTTCACCCCACATTCAACACACGGCCCTCATCCAGGTTAGGAAGCCGGAGAATCGGTATTCTATTTTTTCTTTCCCTAACTGGAATGTCATTTTTCTCTTCACGCTAAGGATGGATATTCATTTCATGCATTTTTATCTTGCTCTCAGGCAGAACACAGGCCCCCAAAAACAGCTTACAAACAGCAGCAATAACACTTGAAGCCATCTTTGAGGTTAAAATGGTGGAAGACACAACACAAAAGGAAAAAGGACGCGGAGGGAGAAGGAAGGTCGAAGGGGCCGGTCCTTCGGAGCAGAGTTCTTAAAAGAGGAAGCCTCTGAGAGAGGAGGAGCCAAAAATGCGGTGGTTTCTCAGAAGAGCAGATGGGGAAGCCCTGTGCCCTTTCTCTCTTTTGTGACCCAGACAGACCAGCTCCTCTCTCTCTCTCTCTCTCTCTCTCTCTCTCTCTCTCTCTCTCTCTCTCTCTCTCACACACACACACACACACACACACACACACACACACACCTTAAATCAAGGCACAGCTTGTCCCCCTTAAACATCCTACCTACCTGGACTTGCCGGAAGATTCCGGGGTTGTACTCGTCCAGGTACTTCACGTGCCACACCAGGAAGGTCCCGTCCACCGGATGGATGGTGAAGAGCATGTCCGGGTTCCTGTTCCACTCCTTCAGCAGCCACTCAATCTTCCGGTCAAGCAGGACGGTAGGAAGTGGCATGGGGGCGCTGGCCGGTGTGAGGACCTTGGGGCTGCCTTCTTGCTCCCCGTCTTCGTGCTCCGAGGACCCCGTTCCTGTGCCTGCCTCCGACTCCCTATCCAGAGACAGTTCTGCGTGATAAAAGCACAGGAAACAATTCAACGCACTGCTTTTTTTTTGGTTGAAGAACAGGGTTTTTAAAAAATAAACTTTTAATGTAGGATGGATGGATGGGCAAGTTTTAAGAGCAAATTCTTCCTAATCATGCATCTCTCGCAAAAACACACACACACACACAAACCAGAAGTAGCTTGCGGGAAGATTCCAGTTTGGGGGGCAGAGACAAGGCGGTGTGTACAGTATTGTGTGACACACACACACACACACACAAAACCAGAAGTAGCTTGTGGGAAGATTCCAGTTTTGCTTCCTTTGGGGGCAGAGACAAGGCAGTGTGTACAGTATTGTGTATATGTGTGGGTGTGTCCTGTGCAAATGATGGGGCATGGCTTCTGGAAGCTTCTAAGCAGTGGCATATCTTTTTTTTTTTCCTCAGCAGGGCAGGGGTGGCCAAAACATCCAAGTCATCGTTGAACCAACAAAAGGGTTTTTTAAAAAAAACAACCACCAGCCGCTCTTTATCAATTGCATTGCGACAGGTTTACTGGGAAAAGCTGGAGGGCCTTCAATGAACTGTATTTTGCCAGGGGGACAGTCTAACAATACACATTAAAGGAGAAATAAAGGAAAAAGCAAATAACTTGCAGGAGTCTCATGATGATGATGATGATGATTTTTAATCCATTCTAAATACGCAGCAACTCACCGTGGTCAAGCTTCATGAGTAAACCCCTCTCTCTCTCTTTCTCTTTCTCTTTCTCGTCCTCCTTCTCCTCCCCATCGGCCTCCTCGTCGGCCTCTCCTTCTGCCCTCTCCATCTGTTGATCTGTAAGTTCTCGGAGGTGTTGCATAAATATTTCAGTCGAGGAGGTAAAATGGAATTCCTTGTTATTCAGCCAATGGACCACAAAGCCCTCACTCCCTTCATCTAAATTAAAAGCCGTCTTCACCAAAGCCTCTGGAATGTCTGAGGAAACAAATACAGGGTTTTTTGTATTTTTTTTAGGGGGGAGAAAATGAAAGGAACTAAAGCTTGGTCTTGAATTACATATTTTAAGAGATTTTTAAATTCCCCGCCCCCCAGAAGATGAGTGGATTTGCATAAAAGATCATAAAGAAGCCTATCTTAGATAACTTCAAGGTCAAATTGGTTATTTCTGATCCATCTCCCTTATTATTTCTTTAAAACTAGTGTGAATGAAAATGTGTGCTAAAAGGTGCAATTATACAAATATTTCAGCTTATTGTTTCATAAAATTATATATCTCTAAAGATAGTTTGTTTCAAAGCACTCATTTAGTGCCAGCATGGTATAATGGTTAGTAGACCAGACTAGAACTCTCCCGAGACCTGGGTTCAAATCCCCCCCACCCGGCCATTAAGCTCATCGGGTGGCTCATCGGCAGGCATATTGTAGTGAAAATAAACAAGAAGAAGGGGGTTGTTCAAAGCAGGATATATGGCTAACCAGGCAGAATATAAACATAACAGATAAATAAGCCACGAAATGAATTTCTAATGACATTTGCATATTCTTTGAGCTAAGAATATTAAGTAGGAAAGGTGACGGGAGGGCTACGCTCTGCTCTGCACACTTATGGGTCCAGGACATGAAGACTGGGGTCGGGGAAGTCATCATTCATAAAACGCCCCAAACCCTGTGAGAATTCTTCAGACAATGGCCGTCACGGATAGTGAGGAGTGGAGCCGCCAGACGTCACCTGTGTTGGGGTTAATGCTGGTCGCTATGTGGAAGTGGCAGAGGGCGTTCATATGGTGCGAAATGTGGCGCTGAACTTCATGCGTCCCTGGCTGATCCGGCAAATCCTCCGTGTGAGTAATGAGCACAGAAGACCTTCGTTGGCCTTTGCGCAGGTTTTTCAAATGATGGATGGTCTGAGAGATTTAAACAGGGAAAGAAAAAGAGAGAGAGAGGGAAGGAGAGAATGAGAGAGACAGAGGGAAAAAACCCCATTTAAGTATAAAGGAAAAAGAGCACCTCGTTGCCCGTAACCAAAATTCCCTTAAGCAAAACACCGGCAAGGGCTGGGTTGGATCTCCTCTCAGCCTCATCCCACGTCGGCTGACGTCAAGGGGTCCAGACCTCGCGTATCCTTCTCGCAAGTCACGCTCCCAGAGCAGCCCCTCCCAACCTGTCGGCGGTGGGAGGGACTACAGTTCCCAGATACCTCCAAGGAGCTGAGCCGGAACTCTAAACCTCGAGCAGGGCCCGAGGGCGAATTCTGCAGGTACCTCCAAAGCTTGCTGGACGTGGTCTTTGCGCCTCCCTGCGTAGGAGAAGCTGCTGCTGCTGCTGATGCTCGAGGTGCTGGTCTCGCAGATCTGCTCCCCGAGAAGAGCGTCTTCGGGAAGCAAGGTCTCGGCCCACAGCCGGCAAATCCCATCGTGGCAGGAGGTGAGCAGCACGTTGCAGACAGATCCCCTTAAAGACGACGACAACAACAACAACACAACAACACCGGGGTGACTGGTTGTGGCTTAGGTGGGGGCTCCACCCAACTGTGGCAGAGCTAAGCACACCCCATCATCCTTCCACGGCCGTTTGTAAGAATGAAATGTGAGCAAACCCTCTTCTCTAGAAAGAAGCCGCAGGTGGCCCTCTGCAAAAGCATAGGCCGAGCGGCGCCGCAGAGGCAGCCGTGGGGTCTCATAAGGAGGGTCCAAATCCAACTTTCACGGGACCTTATTAGTCCAGCTTAGGATAAAAAAAGAGAGTTGTGTGCAAAATCTTGGGGTCAATATCCCCTTCCTCAGGAATAATGTAAGGGGGAAAAAATAGGCAGGGGGAAAAGCAAGAGAGAAAAGAAAGGGTCAAACCCAGAAACTGGGACCAGAGTTCAAAGGTCTGCATGTCTCCAGCCCTCCTTCGTAGTGACAGGACAGCCGTGGTGAGGGGGACCCCGTTGTGATGCCGTGACAAGGTGGCCAAAGAAGACCCTTCCCTTTTTTAAAGGTGCCATCAGACTCCTTGGGGCTTTGGCTGCCAGAGACGGTCCCGGCCGCCCCCTCTGGCTTCGGGAGGATCGAGGCCGTTGCCACGTTTCCCTCCAAGGTCCTCCTCACCTGGGCATGTACTTGCTCGTTTTCCGCCACGAGAACCCCGCCACGGCTCGAGGATGTGCCAGGTAGACAAAGGCGAAACGGATAGGCGTGGCGGCCTTCCTGGGATCGCAGCTCTCTTGCGGAAGGAGGGAGGACTTCCAGCCCGTCATCGGGTACCAGACTTTCAAAAGGCAATCATCCTAAAGGAGTCAATAGGGAGCAAACGGCCAGCCTTACATAGGCAATGAAAACGGTGCCTTAAAAGGGTGTAAGCAACCACAGAGCGGATCCATGTAGGGGAGGGGGGAGCAGTTCGGTCACACACCCCTCCAGCTACTATTCCCTCAATCAAAACCCTTACAAGCCCCCAAATTTCTACTAGCCTGGAAGGGTATCCCCAATTCTGTTTTTTTTTGTCCTGCATTAGACATTCCATATGGTGAAGAGGTCAACCATGCCTAATCAACCGCTGCTAACCCATTTTAACCAGTGGATCACCCAAAGCAGGGAGTTTGTGTATGCTTTGTTTCATGTATTTGAGTAAATAAAATCCATCATTGGGATACACCAAACACATCAGAATAAAATACTGGGTGGGGGGAGAAACCGTTTGAACACAAGGTTAACAGCGCCAGCCTTGTGTCTTGACCGGTCTCCCCTTCCCCTCCTTTCTCACAGGGATGAGCCAGAAAAACCTCGAGGCAAGGCAAGAAAGATGAGGAGCAAAACCAAGGAAAAAACTTGGCTTCACTTAAAAGTTTTGCAAGCATGAAGCTTGAACTGGAACCAACAGCAACAGGGGTGGCCACCCCCTCTGAGGTCAGGTTTTAGTCTGGCCTTTCCAGAGCTCTCCAAGGTGCTGAACCATCTCTCTCTCTCTCTCTCTCTCTCTCTCTCCTCTTCTCTTTTCTCTTCCCTTCAAGAATGTTATAAACGCCTGCCAACCCTGAGGTCTGCTGAGAAGCTTTGTCCCACTCCGGCTCTTCCTCGTTGGGTTTCCCATTCATGACATCCTCCCAGGGCGAGAGAGGAATCTGCTCTCTCCTGCCTTTATCCCTGATTTCTGCCAGCAGGCTGGGAAGCCATTACATGGAGAATATTGAAAACGCGACCCCGGTTAGGAAGTTTGCATAACAAACAATTAGGCAGGATGGCAAAGAACTCGGAAAGCATGATCCAAAGATGATAGATCCTGAAGGGAATTTAAAATGAAAAAGAAGGAAAAAGAAAAGAAAAGAAATTTCTGAAGAGGAAGACCGAAAGCACGTCCAAGAACAATAGCTACATTTCAGAGAGATGACAAGCCACGAGCGTCCATGTGAAGCTCACAGAACTACTGGCAGTAACTAAAATGGAAACCTTCTCTGACAAAGGCAGAAAATGGTTCCCAAGACCATCTGCTTTCAGCTCTGCAGTCACAGAACTTTGGTGCTAAACACGAACATGCCTAACAGATGGAGATTGATGGGGGGGGGGAGAGTGCTGTTGACAGCCTTCCTTTAGGCCTGTTACCAGTAACACGAATGCTGGTCGTGTTGCTGGGATCCTGGTTTGGCCCTCATGCTAAATGAATCCTAAATGCAGAGCTTCCTCCTGGGTTGCTTCACTGCTGCGGCAGGCCTGTTGCTCTCTCTCCCCCCACCTCCCAGCCGGACTCCTGCTTTCTCCCTCTTTCCTAGCCTGATCCTAGACGGACTGAGGTGCATCCCAGGGGAGCAGATTCCGGCGTGCTTTAAATCACCACCTTACAGGAGTAGCTCTTCTGAGAGCCACCACAAAGCACGCTTTATGGGACCAGTCCCATGGCACTTTATGGGATCTGGACATTCAAAGGATGTAAGGGGTAGAGATTTGGACCCCTAAGAAACCCTTTTAGCCTTGAAATCGGCCTGATCGGCCGGCCATGGTACATCGAAGGATGACCAATGTCGTGTGTCATTTAAGGTCGGGTATCTGTCACTCTTTTCTACTGAACTACCGTTTATTGCTACGGATGTGGCGAATCTGGTGTCCCATCAGGCTGACAAGGCCTGTTTCCAGCTCTGGCTGAGAGGCACGTCTCACGGTCTCTCTTTCTCAACCCCCCCCTCTCTATTTCAAGGGTGACAATGAACAGCTATTGTATAAATCTCTAACCAGGCCGTTTCTGGCAATGGCTGGCATGGAGATTGGTGAAGGGGCCCCAGGGGACCCTTAATTAGAAAAATGGTAAAGACAGAATCTGGGAGCTTGCATCGGGAACGGAACTGACTCATAACTTACATAACTCAATAGGTATTGAATACAGAGGTCCCTTTGTTCATCTGCAATTCCTGTTTTACTAGGAAATGTATTTTCTTCTTCTTCATTCAACTCCCGTGAAGATCAACTGTTGCTGTGGAGGGATTTTTTTCTGAGCCTTTAATGGTCACCTTTGGAGGCAGGTCTTGTCAAACTGTGAGGCATATTTAATACCAAACGATCTCTGGCAACCAGCCTGATTTTCAAGCTTGGTTTGCATGAATGTCTCTGTTTAAATGTTGCATTTAATGCTGGGTACCCAAGAATTCTATTTCCTCAAACACAGGCTCTGTCTTATTCTTGGGAGCAATGATACAGGTTCAAGCATACCCCAAAAGGGTCATTATATCCTTCTTTTCCTTACCTTCCCGGCCGTTGCAAAATATTCACCATCCGGAGACCATTCCATGAGATGGACTGAAACGGCAGTCCTAGAAGCAGGGAAGCAAAGGCACAGCATTCCATTTAAGGAGAAACCTCAAATGTAATGAAAACATACAGCATTACAAAAAGTCAGCTACAGCTGACCCAGGTTATTTTCCCAGACTCTTTGCTGCTGAACTAAATAGGTCAATGTGATTTAATTGCTGCTGGGCATTATGAAATGTTAACTAATGATGCTGTCAATCCAGGACTGGAAATAAATTGAGAGATTGCTCACGTCCTGATTTTGCTCACTCTAAACCTCATTTTTAATTGAACACTTTAAAATAAACCATAGTGTGTTACAATGCTGGATGTCAAACTACAGTTTGTGTCTTCTACTTCCCTTCTTTGAAACCGTAAGTGGAAAACAGTATCTAACTCTCTGGTTTTCAACTCTGGTTTGGAGGGCAAGCATAAACCACAGCTTGCCAACACAGCTATCACAGCAAACTATGGTTTGTGCTAAGCAGAAAGAAAATCACAGGGATGAGAGAGAAGGAAGAGGAAAAGCTAATCCTTGTTTTCCATCTTCTCATGTCTGGACCAGCCAGAATTTTGCTACATCCAGTCCCGTGTTTCCTGAGAACAAACACAGCCTACCGGGTGCCCTCCTCCTGTTTTGGACCACAACCCCCTCCATCGGTTCTAGACAGGCTGGTCAATTGGCAGACATTGCTACAGCTGCAGCCCAAAAACATTAAATAAAAGTACTCAGTCGGGTAGCCCTGCTCTATGAGAAGAACTCTTCATGGCTTGTGGAACAATGGGAATGTGGGGCTCAGTAAGCTTATATACCAGTGGTTCCCAACTAGTGTCCCCCAGATGTTCCTGAAGCCTTCGCCACTCGCTGTGCTGGGCAGGATTTCTAGGAGTTGTAGTCCAAGAACATCGGGGGAGCCGAGGCTGGGAACCACTGCTATATACACAAACACAAAGCTGTTATTACTCCACAGTGGACATCCCAACCACTTGCTCAAAACTCATGGTGAGGCCTGGATGGATTTTGTGGTGGACTCCACTCTGTGCAATGGTTTGAGGTTCACCAAAGCTACGGATGACCCAATTTTCTTCCCGTCACGACTCCTCGCTCCAGCTTCCAACTTACTTGCACTGCCAGATGCATTTCCAGTCGCTGAGAACAGGATGGGCTTTATCCTCTTTGACATCCATGTCACTGTCACCTTCCTCCTCCTTCTCTCCCTCCTCCTCCTCCTCCTCCTTTTCTTCTTCTAGGACATCACTGGATGGAGGGGCCCACAGCTGCAAATAATCTGTTGCAGTCAGCAGCCGATTACCTGAAAGTAGCGTTTACATCAAGGAAAGCCAAAAAAATAAACAAACAAAAATTGAAGAAGGAAGATAGTTTCACCTCATTCATAATCAAATGCAAATCTCATGTAGCCTTGGATGGGAAACACATGTGCAGAAATACTGGGGGCAATAATGCCACTAGACACATACAGTCATGCCCCGCTTAACAATTACCTCGCATTATGACGAATCAGCTTGAGATCGCAAAATGATATTTTAAATTGGGTGCGATCGCAAAATGATCTTTTAAATGGGGTTTCTTAACTTTGTGAAGATCAGTTCCCTGCTTCGGGAACCGATTCTTCGCATTACGACAATCAAAACAGCTGCTCGTCGGGTTTTCAAAATGGCCACTGGGTGCTCAAAATGGCTCCCTGCTGTGCTTAGGGACGGGTTTCCCCGCTATACAGGCACCGAAAATGGCCGCTGTATGGAGGATCTTCGCTGGACAGTGAGTTTTTAGCTCACTGGAATGCATTAACCGGGTTTTAATGCGTTTCAATGGGTTTTTAATTTTCGCTTTATGACATTTTCACTCTACAGCGATTTCGCTGGACCGAATGAATGTTGTTAAGTGAGGCACCACTGTATAACTGCAACCAGTTATATTTAAGACATAGCAAGAGCAGGGCCAGTGAATCATTCTCATTTTAGCAATGACCCATGGCATTGTGGCTCATATCTAAGTGTTAGTCTGAAGCAGCCTCAATGGGAACATCCTTAGCCAATGCTTCGGGACCTCCCCATCAGACTAACCATAACACGCTCTGTATGGGGCTGCCCTTGAAACGCGCTCAGAAGTTGACATCTAAGACAAAGTGGAACAGGCAGATCACAGTCTGGTGTGCGCTCTAGAAAGATCCTCTGAACACTTGTCTTGAATCAACCAGGTTTGACTCCCACTTAGCTTTCTAAGCTCCAGTCGCTGATTTGATCTGCAAAGGCCTTGCCAGCTTGGGACCACGATATCTGAGAGATTGCTTCCTTCTGTGCTCACCAAGAATCTAGAATCATCCCCACAGGTCCCACATCTGAAACCTCACACCCCAAGATGCTCACAAGATGGGGCCTTCTCTGTGGTGGCCTCCGGATTGTGGAGCACCTTCCCACAAGGACTCAGGTTGGCTTCCTCTTTGATGAGCTACTGGCAGGCAATCCAGGCTGTACTACGCTGCATAGATTTCACTTTGCACCAGTTCTTTTAAAGGTGAATCTTAGAGTGAGTGGTCTGTTTTCAAAGAATGCTGACTTAAAAGTTTAAAATGGCTGCACTCTTTCCTTGCCATGCACTATTTCTGGTGCCCTCCTGGGCTGAGAAGGGATAACAAAGGGATAATAAAGAAAGGATGAACCTATTTCCCTACAAAATCCCAACCCCAGCTGTACTTTGCTCCGACTTGCAGGAACCAAAGGTTTTCCCCTACAGAGTTATACCTATTGAGAACCGACTTAACCAACTCAAACTCACATTACCTTGAGGATCCCATGCTAAGTTGAAGGTCATAGAGCTGAGGAAAAACTGTCCTGTTTTCAGCCACTGACACTTCAGTTGCTGTAATGAAAATGCTGAGAATTAATTCTTTTAGAGACAAAAAGCAATATAAGGGACAAAATGTTATTGTTGTTTTTTTTGCACAAAGTCATTAACACATGCTTCACATTCTACTCCTTCCCACAAATTTATCTGACAGGATTAAGCAGCAATGCTGCTGTTCAGTAGCATCTTTCAACAAGAACCATTGACACCCCCAGAATCTCCAAATTAAGCCGCTTTCCAAATGGTACTCGCACTTCCTTAGCAGCTAATTCGTTACAGAGGAGGGGAAAATTAGCCGATGCCCCATAACTTTGTGAGGAAGGACAGAGTTAAAGAGCTGTAAAAGGGCAGAGGCTTTCCCCTTCAAAATTTACAACAAAATCCATAAAAAAAATCCCTGTCCCAGTGGAGAACTTTATGGCCAAACAAACTAAACTAAGCTGATTGTGCATAGGAATGCCACTCTACTCCAGTTCCCTGTCCTTCTTAAAAAAAGAAAAAGAAAAAAAGAGAGAAAAAACAGCGCAAGCTGATTTTGTGAATTCATCAGAAAAGGCATAGTGACAGTTCTGGGAAAAGACTAAGACTAGCAATCCTGGTACCAAGACAAATACATAGAAATGGGGGGAAAATAATAACAATCCTGTAAAAAAATACTTACACAATTCCTCTTGTGAGAATTCACTCCAAGGGGCTCAAAAATACACACCGCATTTCCATATGAGGCTGCAATCTGGAGAGAAGCGAGGGAACGAGACGTTGAACACGCCTTTTGAAATTGAACAGCAAACATTCGACTATTTATGGACACAAAATGCACATCCAATATAGATGATCATTTCCGACAGAAAGTAAATTCGTACAAACACCATTTGACGGCTGAACCAGTGGCGAGATTTCAAGGGGACGTGTTACACTCGGCCCCACCCTTTACCCATTCAGGAGCAGATCGTGGCCAAATAGACAATACTTCCGCTGCAGTCCACTTTCCGTCTCCGTTTCCTGTCTCTTCACCCCCACCCCCGAATCTCTGGGGCATCTTACCCGTCCTTGTTGTGAGCACTCCACGCAGCTGACCTGGATGTTCCCATGCTTAGCACCAGGAATTATTTGCACACATTCAAAATCGTCCGCCAGAATCACAATATCGCATCCCGAACCGTACGCCTGCAGGAAATTGGTCAAGAAAAAACAACAATGATCAAGCTTTTTTTGGGGGGGGGGGAATGGCTTTAGAAAAGCAACACCAATGCAAAAATGATACCCTGAACAAGCGCAGATTTCATTTTTAACACCATTCCTTCCCCAGAGGAGTCTCACGCTGAAGGTCCATCAATTTTGGGAGGGCAGCCCCCGGGCCCGAAATGTACAAATTCCTTCCACACGACACGGGGGGGAGGGGGAAGCTCGCTCAAGACCTCTGGTTCATCCAAAAGTCCAGACCAACACTCCTGCAACGCAGCCAGGGCCTGGCCTATGCAAAGACACTTGCTCTGCCTTCCCGGGGGAATAAAAAGGACCACCACCAGGTAGCTACACTTTCTAAACAAAACGTTTTGTTTTTATTACACAAGGCTTCACACATTTTAGGCATGCGCTGGGATAAACTGAAGCTGCCACAACATGTGGCCTAGTAATGCACCTGGCGCTATTTCTAAAGCTGCCGTGAGGTCTAAGCATTTAGTCACACAGGCTTTGCCTTTGAAAAACCAATTTCCAGCACAATGACCTCTAATATTACAGAGGAAGACGAAATACATTCCAGATCAGTGCAGGAAGGGGGGGGGAATCTTGGAAAGGTTCCCGAAATACAGACTGTCGTCTAAGCTCTGCTGTCTTTTGGAACCGCTCCGATGGCCGTCTGCTAGCTCTGCAGATTAAAACGCTTGACAGCCGCAAGAAGCAAGGAGGGAGCGTTAAGCGCCACCCACACAAGGGAGTCTGGACCGCCTTCAGTCACGCTGCTTACTTGCAGGAGGCAACGAGACGGAGTTCACAAGCAGCCGGCGGCAGCAGGAAGAATGACTTGCAGGATGGGTCATTCTTAAAACTACCTTATGCTTTGCAAAATCATGGTCTGATATAAAGTTGGAATTAAGAGCCCCCTTTTATCATTCCAGCCCTCCACTCCACCTCCAGCCATGACGAAGACTTAGTTGCATTTAGTAGGCAGCCTCCAAAGAAAGCCCCCCCAAGACTCTCCCCCCATCAATAAAAAGGCTGGGCAGGGAGGACTTTTCAGTCGCTGCAGGCATGCAATTTCTCTCTCTCTCTCTCTCCCTCACACACACACACACACACACAGCATTTCGTGCACAGCAAACAGGGGTGCGAAACACAACCAACCACCATGACGGCTGTGAGGAAAGTTCTAAAACCCATCCTGCGAGGAGGCCTTTCTTAGGTCCCACTTTAAAAACACAGTGGCCACGTTTTCGGCACCACCGATTTCTCCACTGGTCTTCGGCCATCACAGACCTATATTTTGGGGGCTCCTGAAGCTTGAATTGTTACGGGTCCCCCTTCACAATCAGTAATGAGATCTGTAATCATCTTCAATGGGGTTGCTCCATAACAGATCGCCAAAATATGAGTGAAGGTCCCTTCTGGGCCCCTTCCAGGTTTCGGGGGCCTGAAGCTTCAGCTTCCTTTCTTTCTTAGGCGACCTCCCCCCCCAGCTTCGGGGTACAAATAGCTGCCGGACGGGAGGCTTGAGGTTAAAGTCACGTCTCCTTTGGAGGCAATTCTACGAGGAAATGAGGAAGAGGTTGTGGTCCCTTCCATAGGGACTCCTCCGGCGCTAGGTTCCAGGAGTGTGATGATGGCAGCATTGGCCACCCCCTTTGAGGTTCTCATCTCTTTCTGCCATCCCTTGGCCTCAAGGACTGCTGGTCTTTGAAAGCCACCCCCACCCACCCCCAGGGAACCAGGGGCACATCCCAATCCACGCCAGTGCGTCCATCCTTACTCTCGTCTCACCGTCGCTGTTGGGATCCTGTCAGACCCCGCTTCGGCCACGGCCTTTCCACAGCAGATCTCAAGAACCCAAACCAATGGCCCAGTCTCCATGGCATGACAGGTCCTTCATGGAACGACAAACTGGAAGCTGGATGATAAACTCGGACCACAACACACTCGTCCTCAATTACGGCACTTAAAAGTTTGTCTGGGAGCAACAAGCCCTGCTTCACAAAACCTGTGAAAGAAGCCACTGGTGCAAAGGGGAAGAGAAGGTGCTGGATCTTGGCAGAAACAGAAGGTTCCGCTCCGATCCTGAGCTGCATAAATCTTTGCTTCTGTCCTACTCACAGGGGCAGAGGAGAAACTGCAAATCGACGTTTGTTTTCCCGTGAGAAGGCCCAGAGCATGGTGCCACTCTCAACAAGGAGACAGAACCAGTTTTGCCCAAATGGATAACACTTTAACACAAACAACGCTTTCTTGTGATGAATCACACAAGTGGCACAAAATCACAACAGCTGCCGCTTGGTTGTACTAATACTAACTTTTGGAATCAGAAGCAGGGGAGTGGGTACTTGTATCCTTTCACCCCATCAGCCAGTCCTTGCCTGCTTTCTCGTGTGCATCTGCTCTGCTCCTCAAAGGCAAAGCACACCAGTTTTGCACTGACACAGTCTGGGCAAAGTATGCTGGCCAAAACATGACAAACAAGTGCTTCTTCTTGTCCCGCTTTTGCTTGGAGGTGAGGAATCCTGTAGGGCTTCAAATTTCCTCCCTGGAGTATCTCGCTGAGCTGAGAGAGCCCAAACGGACGAGCATTCTTCCTACTTACTACCACTGGACCAGCCCTTTCCAAAGAACTCAGAAAGTAGTTTACCAACCTAATGACGCAGCGACTGGAGCAAACGTTTCACGATTTTGGAGCCGTTCGGGGGCCATATAGAACTTGTTCTGAACCAGAGAAGGCTGCGTTATTCCAAGGGCAAGCGACCTTTATCTTGGCCCCTCATTCCAGAGCAAGCCAGCAAACCTCGGGAGTGACCGACCCACAATGCCAGTCTTTAAAAGCTGCCTCGGCATGCCATTCAACTCTTCTCTTTAGGCAACAATCAGACCCCGAGCTCCTTTCCAAGCGGCCTCCTTCACTGCACACGTTGGTGACACTTCTGCCCGGCAGAAACAGACAGGCCAGGTTCACATCCTGTGGTCAAGGGGGCACCTGGCCAAACTTTGGCAGGACACACAAGGATCTTTGGCGTGTCCGTCCCTGAACATGTCAGCCTTAACGGTGAAGACACAACCATGGCCTTCTGAGTGGGCCAGAATCTTAAGGACTCTGGCTTTGGATCATGTCTCGATGTGTCTGGAGGAAGAGGAGGTGGAGGGGGGGGGGAAATCCAGACAAGCCAGACTACAAAATGCCTTTGTATAGAAAGCATTAATCCTGTTAACATCAAGCAAAATGGCCTGACTCATCTGCAGAGGATGATGCCACGGTTTGTCGGTTTCCAAACTGGTGTGTCTGTGTGAGAGTGTGGGTCTGGGCCCCCCCAGGAGGTACGAAGACCTTCCAAGGGGAGTCAGACATTCGCCAGAGGAAGGAGCAGCAGCCGGAATGGCCAGATTCGGAAGCCCACCAGCATTTCCCAACGGATTTAAAGGCTGCCGGAGGTTCCCCAGGCGCTTCCGGTTCTGAGCGACACCTTGTTGGCAAGGGCTGAGCCACCGGTTGCTCTCTTGGATGAAAAGCTGCGGAAGACACCTGTCGCCTTCTGCGTAGGTGACAAGCCACAGTTGGCAGAAGACCAAACCGAAACACATTCTCCACACACCTTCTGCATGTCACCATCTGTGAGGCTCAGGTAGGCATCCATAATAATCAGAGGAAACCCACAAGGCAGCCGCTGCAAATCCTGTCGCTTAACGGTCAGCTCCTCGTGAGCTTTAGTCCATACATGACTGGAACTTTTAACCTACGTTTTTATTTGTTGGCTGCGCACCGTTTCCAAAGACCCAACGATATTTTTCTTATCACCTTGCAGAAACGAGGAAAGGCTAGAGTTATAACAGAGCAGGAGCTCAGAAAACAATAAAACGTCCTGCTTGATCCTTGATATCTCCTGGTAGTTCTGGGAAGAACGAATGTCTGAAGCTCAGTAGATCTACTGCTAGACAACCATCACCGGTTTCCTATGTTGTTCATTTAGAGCCTTTTGTTTTGTCACATAAAAACCTAGCCAGTTTGGTAAGCCACGGTGCATCAGGACCCCACCTGCTCAGTGGTTTGGGCCTCTGGCTGAGGAACCAGAAGTGGAGAATTCGAGTCCCCCACCGGTCCTCCTTGTCAGGGCCAAGACGTGATGATTCACTGGACGCCCCCCCACACTTCCAGCTCTGCAGTTCTAAGATCCACTCGCATGCTCAGTTTTAGAGAAGGTGTCTTAGGTTCTTCAACTAGCTTTTCATTCAGATGGTCTGGGAACTGTAGGTGTGAGACGCTAGAACAATGAAAGTGGAGGCAACCCCTTCACCCGGAGACTTTAACACAAAGCTTGACCAGCGCTAACAGTTCAGATCATGAATGGTCCTTGAGCCGTGGCCATCTGCCCCATGCGGGCAGGAGAGAAGTTAAATGGTTACACGACAAAGTGTGGATCCTCAAAACTTGTTTTTCCAGCAGTTTTAGGGTGTGTGTGTGTGGTTTTGTTTTGTTTTTTTGGTAGGGATCCCTTTTTTTCCCTGCCAGAAAAATCTGAGTTGCTGATTCACTGTGCACTATTTAATACCCTACAAACATCATTAAAAAAACCTGAGAGTCGACCTCTGGCCACATCTGCCTGACTTTCCGGGGGAGCCTCCAAAGGATCCCGCAACAAAAACCTGATTTCAGAGACACTAAAGTGTCACACTGGGCTTTAAATGCAGCGCCTTCAAGGCCACAGAAAAGCCGGTCCTCTTGGCCATCAGGCAGCTCCCTGGACTGGAATAAAAACAAAATAAGAGAAGCAAACAAACCCAGACCAAGCAAGGAGAAAGATTAGACTGTCAGAGGAAAGGAATCACAACAACAGGGGAAAAGACCTTGAGGTTTATTGTCATTTTTCAACCTGGGCTCCTATAGACTATATAAATAGCCCTCTCACTCTCTCTCAGACAATGAATCTACACCTGTTGCTTTTTCTTTTTCAAATCCAGACTATATATATATATATAAAACATCACTG